AATATTGGTTAATTATTAGACGCGGACCTGATTAAACATGACATGCCTTGGCTTGGTGATAAAAACATCACGACTCAGACAGAAACAATGTTATCAGTGAGTTTAATATTATATTAAAGATACGCTGCCTGAACTGAAAGTCACACAGCCAATGTGTTGTAAAAGGGAATGTATTTATTGATGATCGTGTGTTTGATCGTGAGCACAAGGCAGTAACTTAATAAAGCCTTTTACAAACAGCAGCACTGTTAACACATAATAAAGCTATTTCCTTATTCAGTCGGCATACTTCCTGTTTCTGATATCACGCACTCAATGCACTTCATGATTGTCCCTCCTGATTTGGCATATCTACATTAATCCAATTCAAAATTCAAACTGAAATGGAATAATTATTCTTTTAACAGTTTAATTATACTAATACTTTTAATAGCACATTGTTATATAGCATCTTCAGGCTCTATATAAATAAAGTGACTTGTGTCGTACAGTGTTTTCCAATGTTGCTGTATAACACAAGACACGTAAAAAGCATAAAAAAAGAAAAACAGAAGTTTAAACAAGACATAGATGTGTTAGTACTGTGCAAACGTCAGACTAAGATATGATATCTTAGTTTATTGATATGATAGAAAAATATTTACGTGTTTTTTTTTTACACCCCCAAAGTTCAGTCTTAGAAAATAGCTGCATTTTCTGCTTCTCATGATCCAAACACATTCAGTGATGCTGAAGTATGTCTTGATCTTCTCGGCCGTGTGTTTGGGCTCGTTATCTTGAACGAACTTCTTCCCAAACAAATTTTTTCCAGAAGGTGCTGCATGACGGACTAAAATTCGTTTGTAATTATCTGCATTTCTGATGCCAATAAAAACCAGCCGCCAGCTGCAGACGTTGTAATACATCTGTAAGCATCTCAAGCATGACAGCTTAGCACTGTTTAACTGATGTTGACCCTTTTGATGGTCTACTGGGTTCTACATGGTGGTTATGAGTCCCATTTTCTCTGTATCTTTTAATATTTTTTGAACTTCAGATTTGGAAACTCCATTTTTGTGCTTATTTACCTTTGACTTTCCCCTCCTTATGCAAGCGGATTGTCTTATATCTCATCTCCTCAGAAATACATCCTTTAGTCTTTTTCGATGCACGTGAGAATGAAATTTGCAGCTAAGGTGTTTGGATAGTTGTTTGTGTGAACATTAGTGTCTCGTTAAAGGGGAACAAAAGTCATTGCCAACTTCAGGAATCTTCTGCTGGGAGGACACAACTGTAACTTTTTTTATAGGCTGAAATATTAAAGATGTATTTCCTGTTTTTTTTCTGATAGATAGATGTGTTGTGCTAAATGGGTGTCTTGATTGCATAAAAGTACTTACAATTATGACTTGGCTTTGTGACTCCACCACCAGATCCTGCCTTTTGTTTTTGGACATCCTCTTTTCTGTTACACAGAATAGTCACTTCCCTTCCTCTGGTCACGAAGGCCGTGGTCGAGAGCTCGGCTCAGTCTGACTTATAGACTTTGACAAGCCTTCAGAAAAGCAGAACAATAAGGTTTGTTCTACTTTTTGCACTCCTGGTGGAAAGCTGGGGAAGCTGACTTGTCCTAAGAAAGACAGAGTGAGTGTTTCAGTGTTCAGTGACACGATCACCATGTGAAAGTTGGGATCAACAGTCTCAGACTGAGTCAGATCTAATGACAACACCATGGCCTTAGAGAGACCTGTTGAAATTACAATTTTAGAATTTTTCTCAGAAAGACACTTCAGTATGTAGAGTAGATGGACAGGGCTGGGGAGGGAAATTCAGTACTTTTACGGTACCAAATAAATGATTTCACGCTTAAATGAAATACACTACAATTTTGTTTTCCAACTCTTTTCTGATGACGTGACAAAAGAAATATGAAACACAAACGAGGGGTCTTTATAGGATGGCCCAACGAGGACCCATCTTTCTAAACTGAAGCTTAGCTCTTGGAACACAGCTTATTTCTAAGTACTCAGTATCAGCGAGCCAATACACATGCTTGTTCCAAAATCGAGACTGATGATTGGCTGTCTAAATAACATTCCATAAGTATGTCTTGGCTAATATGGCCTCACTGCAGTCTGTAAATATATCCACTTCCAGCACTGCTTTTCTTTTTTAAGTGACATTCATTTTCGGTTTATAATCTAAACAAAGCTTTTGAAAAAAGTTGTTTAGAAATTAGTATTGAGGTCAAGGTATCAATCTTGCTAATGATATCAAAAGATTTTGAGCAGTACCCAGCCCTATAGATGGGCCTGGCCTTGTTCTGTCTGCAGTCCTCAGCCCACCCCTAACATGTGAGCTCTAGAGTAACACGTGAGCCTGAGGAGACGGGGGTTCCCGCTGTCTGTAGTCTGGTAGGAGCACTTTATACTTGAGGACACACACACTGCCTGAAGTGGAGACATATAGCAACATATACAGCTGTGACACATTTGTAGCAATGCTCTTTTAAGCAATGCTCAGTGTGGATTCTAAATTTAGGATTTGTGGATATTTTTGTAGCTTAAAAAGGGGAATTGTGTACTGGGGTAGAGTTTCCCTGTTCAGATTCAATAACAAAGCTCTAGATGTAAGTGCAAGATCCAGTGAAAGTAACTCAAAATAAAATCATCATATCTCACACAGCTATATATTATGGTGAAATAAAACAGCTGCTTTCTGACCTTTTTCTACCTTTCAATGCTTTTTTTGATTCAGCACTTTTATATGTCTTTTTCACGAGGAGGGCAGCCTTTCCCTTTTTTCTATTTGTTTTTTTTTGTGTTGTTATTGTTTTTCTAATGTTTAAACCAATATGTATATATACACTGTATGGACAAAAGTTTTGGGACACCTATGCTTTACACCCATAGGAGCTTTTATGAATCCCATTCTAAATCCATAGGCATTAATATGGAGTTGGTCCCCCTTTGCAGCTCTAACAGCTTCCACTCTTCTGGGAAGCTTCTACAGGATGTTGGAGAGAGTCTGTGGGAATTTGTGCCCATTCATCCAGAAGAGCATTTGTGAGGTCAGACACTGATGTTGGACGAGAGGGTCTGACTCACAATCTCCGTTCTAGTTCATCCCAAAGGTGTTGGATGGGGTTGAGGTCAGGGCTCTGTGTGGGTCAGTCAGGTTCTTCCACACCAAACTCACCCAGTCAGGCCTTTATGGAGCTGCTTTGTGCACTGGGGCTCAGTCATGCTGGAACAGGAAAGGTTCTTCCCCAAACTGTTCCACAAAGTTGGAAGTGTACAATTGTCCAGAATGTCTTGGTGCTGAGGCATTAAGATTCCCCTTCACTGGAACTGAGGGTTCTAGACCAACCCCTGAAAAACAGCCCCATATCATCATCCCTCCTCCACCAAACTCTACAGCTGGCACAGTGCAGTCAGGCAGGTAACGTTCTCCTGGCATTCGCCAAACCCAGACTCGCCCATCAGACTGACTGATGATTCGTCACTCCACAGAATGTGATTCCACTGCTCCAGAGTCCAGTGGCTTTACATTACTCACCCCATTTGGCACTGTGCATGTTGATCTCAGGCTTGTGTGCAGCTGCTCGACCATGGAAAAACCCATTTTGTGAAGCTCCTACTGTGCAGTTCTTTTGCTGATGTTGCTTCCAGAGGCCGTTTGGAGCTCTTTATCAAGTGAATCAACAGAGGATAGACACTGTGCGCTTCAGCACTCGGTGCCCCACTCTGTGAGTTTGTGGGGTCTACGGCTTTGTAGCTGCTTCATGGCAATAATAACACTTACAGTTGTCAGGGGCAGCTCTAGCAGGACAGAAATGTCACAGGCTGACTTGTGGCAGAGGCGGCATCCTATGACAGAGTCATGTATAATGTCACTGAGCTCATCAGTACGACCCTCTACTGCCAGCGTGTGTCTATGGGGACTGCAAGACTGTGTGCTTAAATATATCCACCTGTTAGCAGTGAGTGTGGCTGAAACACCTGAACTCAATAATTAGGAGGGGTGTCCAAGTATTTTTGCTCACATTGTGTATATATTAACCAGACACTTCATTAAGTACAACCCCTTGTGTCTACACTTTTTGTCCATTGTCCAGCTCCACCCCAGACTGCAGACTGTAGTCCATCTGTTACCTGTACTTTGTTCGACCCCTTAGACAGGATTGGTGGTGCTTCATTTTACTGTGCAGTACTGGTGGAACAAATATGATCTGCTTTTAAAAGTCATGAGAAGGAAACTTTATCACAAAAATCAACGTCTGAAGTACGCAGAACAACTTCTAGATAAACCAGAGGCGTTTTGGGAACAAGTGCCATGAAACATGGACTGAAGAAGTAGAGATAGAACTCTTTGGTCTCAATATCTGAAGGTATTATTTAGGAAATAGGAGCAGCATTTGATGGACTGAACAACTTGCCAGCTGTTAAGCATGGAAGTGGGTCTCTTATGCTTTGGGGTTGTGGGGCAGACAGCGGCACAGAAAACATGGTAGATAGAAGAATGGCTTCCACTGAAAATCAGCTAATTCTGGAAGTGAATGTGACCCAGTTTATATAAATGCATGAATGATCAAAACATAATTTATTTGATTTTATGCCCCATAAATTTTTATTTATTTGTACTTTTCTAACATGTTTGTTTGTTTGTTTGTTTGTACATTGACTGCTCATATAGGTGAGAGACGAAGCTGAAATGTACAGTATTAAATTTCGATTTTCTAGTTTTTAACGTTCATTTTTTCAGTGTTTTTCTACACTGAAGCTCAAACCCAGTGATCGTCGTGTTAAACAGCTTCTGCGCTAAATGACCGTTAAGGTTCCGCTGAGTTCTCCTCCGAGGCGCGCGGACACAGAGCGGCTTGACCAAAGAAGCGGCCGGTTGAAGAGGGGATTTCTGCGAGGCCACCAGCCAATCGGATGAGACATAAACACATGATGTCATGCACCACGAGCACGAGCGCTTTCCACTTCACATTCAGCGAGAGCGCCAGACCGCCAGCCTCCCCGCCTCTGGCTGGCCGCGTGAGACGGGAGAAGCGTTTAACCGAGCCGGAAGACCCGGAACGATGTCTCAGGCCTCTGTTTTGAAGGAGTTCCGTGAAGAAGATCTGATGGACGTGGCTCTGGTCAGAACGAGCGTCGACGCGTGTTTGCGAGGCCACCTGGCGAGGACAGCGCGGCGCGTGGCGGTGAAACTGCTCGGCTGCTCCACCGCCGAAGGGTGAGAGAGCGCGGGGCGGGCTTTTCATGTTTTGGAAAGTTCTGAAGAAGAAGAAGCTAAATTAGATTAACCGTTTAGCTAAATTAGATAACCTGTAACCGTTTATTTGGATCCACTTAATACCATTTTAATAATTACACTTAATTAGCCTAAATATATGGTAAACAAATATGGCTTTGAAGTCCATTTGAAGTCGTGCACGTTCATCGTATCACACAGAGACCACAGTTATAGTTTTTGTTTGATGAAAAGGGTAACGCTTCTCTTTCCCTTGGGGTGTGTGTCTCTCTCTCTCTCTGTCTGCTCTGTGTGTGTGTGTGTGCTCTCTCTCTCTGTGTGTGTGTGTGTGTGTGTGTGGGTGTGTCTCTGTGTGTTTCTCTGTGTGTGTGTGTGTGTGTGTGTGTATTTCTCTGTGTGTGTGTATGTGTGTATCTGTGTGTGTGTGTGTGTGTGTCTTTCTGTGTGTGTGTGTGTCTTTGTGTGTGTGTGTGTGTGTGTGTGTGTGTATCTGTGTGTGTGTGTGTATGTGTGTATCTGTGTGTGTGTGTGTGTGTGTCTTTCTGTGTGTGTGTGTCTTTGTGTGTGTGTGTGTGTGTGTGTCTTTGCGTGTGTGTATATTTCTATGTGTGTGTCTCTGTGTGTGTGTGTGTGTCTCTGTGTGTGTGTGTGTGTGTGTGTGTCTCTGTGTGTGTGTATATTTCTCTGTGTGTCTGTGTGTGTGTATATTTCTCTGTGTGTGTGTGTGTGTGTGTGTGTGTGTGTGTGTGTGTGTGTGTGTGTGTGTGTTGCTGCTCTCCCAGCTGTGACCGGCTTGCCCAGGTGAAGAACGCACTCACACTAGGCAGAGTCTGTTCTGAGCGAATCCTTGTCCCCCTGGGTTTGTTCAAGGCTCCCTCTCTGTTTGGGCTGGTGTGGGACTGGATGGCTGAGGGATCCCTGCACTCCTTACTGTACGAGGTGAGCCTCTGTTCCAGGTGTAGTAGTCAGACCGGCTCTAGGAGAAAGACAACTGGAGCATCAGTCAGCCTTAGTTTAATTAGCAGCGTATTACAAACACTCTTACCTAACCTAGCGCTCAGAGTACAAGGCAGCCTCAAATAACAGCATTATTGCCATTTAAAACTCCCACATACACGGTAATATCACCCACTACGCTGTCTTACTGCAATAAACTAGTGAGTGATAACTAATTAAAGGGCCCATATCATGTAAAATCCATTTTTCTTTGTTTTTCTTTTTGAGTTTTATGCAGTGTGCAAACATTGTTACAGTTTCAAAACATATCATTCACTCCTCAGTCCATACAGTCCACATATGGACACGAGCCTTCAGCAGTTTAGTCCCGTCCAATTAGGCCAAAATTATAAGGACGGTTTCAGCCCAGACTGCTTTTTGAATAAGGTACAAGGCAGCCAGTGTGAACAGAGATAATTTACATATATCTGTCTTAGAGGCACCGTAACAAAAACAGCCTGATAGAGGATAAAAAGAGGTTGGAAATGGTCACATGAAAAATTTAATATGTCTTTTTTTTGGTATATGAGCCCACACACATTTTATAAGAGGATAAAATACAGTAAAGGAAAAAGTAGGGTATGGGCTCTTTAAGGCAGAGAAGCCCGCGAAAAGCTGTTTTTAACCAAAACCCGGTTTAGCGAGTTTTTAGCAGCCCTTTTCCGTCCTGCACTGTGACATTTTCTGAAAGAGGTTATCAGAGCTCTGCTGGGGGGATTTCCAGACCTGTGGTGATGAAGCATCAGTGACTGGTCAGAGATGAAATCTCCTTAGTACTGCACCAGGGGGCACCTCAGAGCAGCCAAGCTTGTGGAACCTGAGCCGACCCACTAGTTCTGTTCCGGGAGATTTGTCTTTATTAATGGCCGCATAAAAGACCTTCATTATACACGTTAACAAAGAGGGCACTTGTACAGTGTGAGGGCAGAAGGCCAGGGACTCCAGCCCCTTTTTGGGATCTCTGTGCACTTGCCTGGTAATTGTCTACCATATAATCATTCAGAGCCAGTTTCACAGATCCAGATTAAGCCTTAGCCTAGACTAGACAATTCACTTCAAATGGTGAATCATCAATGGCACTGCAGTTTATTTAACGACTAGACTTAATCCTTGTCTGGGAAACCAAACCTTAGTTCAGTGTTTCTAAATCCTGCTCATCTGGACTGCAGAGTTTCAGTTATTCCCCTGTTCTCCTGTTTTGGAGATACTTATTTTGGACAGCAATGATGGACTAAAATCTAAAGGCACAGTAATCTGTGGTCAGGGGGCCGACCACAGCTGTGGTCTGGGGCCGTCCAGACCTTTTTATAGAGCTTGGAGCTGTGTTTGTTTCAAGAGGCAAACAAAAGACTTTCACGTTTAAATTTCGTCTAATGGTCACTCTAAGATCTTTCTAAATCATATGACCAAAACAAACGTGAAGGAAATGACAACCTGGTTATCATACAAATTTGTCACACCAACTAAGCAGGAGTGAGTTGTCATGCAGCCCCGAGACCGACTTGCACGAAAACTACCTCTGGTATTTTTACAGAAATGGAAGCAAAACACTCATTGGTTGGTTAGTCTTCCATGTAACTGCTGTAGATACTTCAGTGGTTGTGTGGAAATTCCCTGCATGTAGCTGTAATGTATGTCCTGCCACTGCTAAACATGCCTGTCAGAGACAGTTGCATCACTCTTGCATCAGAAAGCCTGAAGCACCTTAAATATGAGCTCGAGGATTAAAATGGTTTGTCAGCAATGTAGGTTAGTAACCTAACAGAGTTCATTCATTCAGCAAAAACATTTTACTCAGTTCATTCGTTTAACAGGAGTCTATTACTTTGTTTGTTCATTACTGTCTATGTGGGTGAGGTTTCATGGTAGAACCAGTGGATCTGCTTAATTTAATTTCCCTCTCTTTGTGCTCGGATAAAGTCGTCTCACCTGCTTGAGATGATCTGAGGTTGTCAGTAGGTTGAGAAATTTGAAGTGACTGCTGCAGTAAATAGACGGTTATGTTTGTGATGTGTTCACTTTTGTCAGACACACGTCTATCCAGACCTGCCCATGGCCCCCCGGCTTCAGGTCCTTCTGGATGTGGCGGAAGGTTTGAACCACTTGCATGCCATTCCTCTGCCTCACGGAGCCCTGAAGGCCACCAACGTCCTTCTTGACCAGCAGTACCGGGCTAAGGTACCACTCGCTGATGGATATTGTAATGTACATCACTGTTCAAAACTTTGGAATCACTTTTTGTCATTGTATTTAGTTCAGCCAAAAACTATATTTACACAATTCTCCACTTACCCGAGATGCACTCGTTTCATCCGGGACATGTTTGGAGTCTCCTTTAGACTTTGCTTCTTTAGTTTAGAGCTGAGGCTGTGAAGCTAAAGTTGTTAATAACCAGTGGAAGTCAGTCACCCACAGAGTTCAAATTGTTTCCATAAAAATCCATCACCAAAACTTTTATAATCCGCTGAAACCGCACCCAGATTATAATTAAGGTCGCACAGACTATTTGATGTGTAATGGTGTATTAGAAACATTTTAGAAACATTTTCTGCCACCAAATTGGTTTTATTTTATCAAAACTATTGATTCTGAACTATTGAGCACAGTGTGTATTTGTTCTATATGCAGTTGTGTGACTGGGGCCAGCAGACGTGCTTAGATCTAAGGGCACCGACGTCCCATAGTGGTAGTCCATGTTTTAGAGACTTGGCTTATATGTCCCCTGAAGTTATACAAGGAGGTGCACCATCTATAAAGGCTGACATGTACAGGTGAGTGCGAGTCCTGTTCCTTTAAGCTAGTCTGTAATACACACATTCACACGCTGTAATCCTGAATAGGTTAGTGGTGCTGTTGTGGTTTTTTTGCCAGTCATCTCACCTCGAAACGTATGTCTCTTCTAGTTTCGGTGTTCTGATTTGGGAGGCACTGAATCGAAGGCAGCCGTGCGAAGGTAGGTGTTGTCATCACCTCTACCGCTTTTTCATAAGCTTGTGAGTAATTGCTTTGTTTTCCTCCTCCCAGTTAGCAAAAGTATGCGGTTACTGACTTACAGGAAACAGTCAAAAAAGTCTATTTTTGGGCCGGCTTATTTTACCTCCCTTTGTATTCGTCATGTTGTTCCTAATCTTTAGACAGTGCATTACAAGTTGCTTCACACTTTCTCTTCTGTTTTTTCCACTTTTGCTTTTTCTGTTGGCCTTATGTAACGTGTGAACATATGCAGTGAACAGCCTGTAGCTGTTTAGACCAATTTCTCAGATTTCTCACAAAAATAACACCTCCTTTCCATTTTTTCAGTTACGGATCATTTGCAGACGCTGCTACTCTCTGCTCAGGAGGGGGTAGAGACTGGTGTGGAAGTTAAGCTGTTGCCCCTGGAAACTCCCCAATGCCATGTCCTCACCCGGCTTGTGATCAGATGCTTGTCCAGTGAACCAAACCGCCGTCCGCTGGCTGAAGGTTGGTGTAAGAATATTCTTCTGATGAAGCTGCCGTGTGGAAACTAAACATATCTGCTGTTTACTAAAAATTCCATTTGACTCCAATACAGAGTGTGTAGTTGAACTCAGGAAGGCAGTGGCGACGTTAGGCTCAGACGCTGGTACGACAGCTGCCCGCAGGCTAAAAGAGTGCAAGGTACTTTCCAATCCTGTCAGTCCTCAGTTAAGGAAAATCTAATCGTTCCTTGTTTAATATATAATCTATAACGGGGGTGAACAAGCTTTTTATGTTGGTAGCTTTCAAATGTTTTAAAAAATGTGCTTTTTAACATTACATTTTTTTTTTTATTATTAAAAGAAAAATAATCATTTTGTAAATTATATATGATGTAAAATATATTGTTTATTTTATTGGGTGACGGGGGGGTTTGAACTAACTTTATGGGAGGCCAGTCAAATGAGCCACAGGCCACACTTTAGGCTTCTGATCTATAACCTGAAACCACTTTCAGCACATGAGCCCACAAAAGCTTGTGAATCCTCTGAATGTACGTGTGTTTCTGCTATTCTACCAGGAGAGGGCGATGCTTTGCTGTAAAAACCCTACAGCATGGGCGCTTCCCGTTGAACTCAACAACCTAGAGGTAAGAGACCTGCCTCATCTTGTTTGGACATAGTCTTCTGTTTCTCACCTGCTTGGCTGGTTTGAGCATGTTTTCATTCTGCTCATCTAGAGTAGCGATAAAACTCCAAATACGTCACTCCTGTACTAAAGTACCATTTCTGTGTTTAAAACTCTGTTCTACTTTTGAAAAGTTGTACTTAATGCTGTTAAAAGAAACACGTCCATTCAGAAATCAATTCTGTTTAGAAATTTTCAACAATATGAAATGACTTTGGTTGCAGACAAATGTGCAAAATTATTTTAATGAGTGAGTCCCGTGCAACTTCACTGGTTTCAAGTAATTATTAGGACACTAGAAAGCTGTCGATACAACAAAGACATTTTAAGAAGAGACAGATGTACAGCATCGAGACTTTAATCGTTTTTTTAAGTTCTCTGTTCACAGAATTCCTGAAATATTGAACACACACACACGTTTTCTAACCCACTTATCCTTCTGGGTCGCGGTGGGTGCTGGAGCCTATCCCAGCGGTTGAAATAATGCATAAAACAACAAAAAAAATTCCTTTTGGCAAATTGTTTGTACATAATCTTTGTCATATTGATGATTTCATAATCTGCGTGTGTTTAAAGTTTGGCTCAGATGAAAGAGAAACCAGTTGTTAACTTTTACACTTAAGCTTAAGATCAAATCTGACAAATGTAACTACAGTTACAGTTTTAGTGCAAATGCATTAATACTTTTATTTAAAATAAACAGATTTTCAGTTGCCGGACTTCCCCTTTTCCACATGCACTTCCACCAAGTGTCACATTATAGGACAACATTTGTATTTTTGCTCGTGATTTGTATGTTTACCCAAATGAATTAAGCAAATTTAAACAAATTACATTGAGATCTAAATAACCATAAACGCTTCACCAGGGCTACAGTGGCGGCATGCGCAGAAAGAACCTGACCTCTAAGACGATTCCAGTGAACGGGCCTTGTTTGAGTAAAGCTGCTCCACGGATCCCCAAGTCAGATGAGACCAGTCCAAGAGGAACCCTTCCTGTCCCGGCTACTGCAAGGGCTTCCCCTCCAGCTGGATGCTGTAAGGGTGAGTGACTGGGCCTGCGACCAGTGTTGTTGTTCTTACTTGTTCACTTTAATTCTGACAGTTTTTGTCTCAACTGGTTTTCTTTAGGTACTGCGAATAATCCGGTTTTGTCCAAGGGAACGTCCAGCATCACTTGCAATAGCCCTGGTTTCAGATGGTGTGGCGTCCTTTGTGATGTGAGTCAGACACGGACCCCGACACCCCCAAACACACCGTGTGGCTCCCCTACAGCAGCGATACAGGCCTCCCTGCAGCGTCCCAGTCTTGCAAGCCAGGGTAAGAGTGAGACAGATGGCAAATCTAACTTTCTCGTTTATCTTTTTTCCCATCGCAATTCAGGTTGGGACCCTTTGTTTAACATGTTTTAACATGCCTGCTGAGTAAAGCTAGAGCAAATTTACCCTTAACAAACATTGCAACAAGTTCCCGTGTGTGTTGTGCTCCCGCATGTGCACAGTAAGCAGTTCTGCAAGGCTGTTTGCTGGCTTCCTGAACGACAGACCCACCGATGCCTTATCTGTGTCCAGCGTGTTTCCTCCCATGAGGGCTGCTGTTTTCCTCAGGATTGGTCTTAGTTTTTGACCTTATAGAGTGCAGCGCATATCATTTGTTTTTGCTGCACAGCTTAATCAAATCATTGACGTTTAGCTTTGTTAGGTCAAGCTGAATGTTGATCACTGGAGGAATAGAATTGTTGAGTGAATAATGAGGGTAAAGGAAAGTGGTCGGTGTGGAGGAGTCAAATGATCACTGTTGTTTTGTTTCTTTGCTCTTAAAGCTTAGCAGTCCGTCTATTTTTGACACAATATTCTGACTGATTTTCAAAGCTCAAGGTTATATGGTGTATTTAAATTCTGGATAATTGTATGTGTTGAACTTTATTATCAATAAAACACACATATATTTTCCAAAGCGCTCATCCTAGTGGGCCGTGGGGGGTGCAGGAGCCTATCCCAGCTGTCATTGGGCAGAAGACAGTATACACCCTGGACAGGTCACCACTCCATTGCAGGACAGACAAACATATACACATCAATAAAACAGGACAACCTATACAATAATGAAGGTGACCTGTGGTTAACAGAGCAGAACTGTGTGGAAATGCATCAATTATGAAAATATTATTATTATTATTATAATGCAACAACATTTAGAATTAAAATGAAGCTTCTTGCTGTTAAGAATATGAGTAATAATTGATATTAAAGTAGCTTTGCTGTGTCCCCAAGGTTAAAATGGTAACCAGTATGAGTCGACTGATGTAGTCACTGCTTCGTAATGTTGAAGGTATAGTACTGTGCAAAAGTATTAGACCATCTGAGAAAAAGATGTGCAGAGCTATTTATCTGGGCGGTAAGTGTATCTTTGTTAATTTGTTATAAATAAACAAATAAACAATACATTGCCATTATATATAATAGTGTAACCGTTTTCTAAATCTCTCCTCAGAGAAGCCAAGTATTTATATTGTGTTCATGACCAAGTGGTAACTGGGAAATTTGTGACCTCCAAATGGTAGAAATCCATTTCAACATCCTTCTAATTCTGAATATTATATATATATATATATATATATATATATATATATATATATATAAATTTTTTTTTAATTTATTTACATATATTAGTCTGATCCTAGGTAAATATAGCTTTTACAGACATTATAATTAATGCATAGTACCATGCATCCTTATATATATATATGTCATTACAGTTTCTAGTTACCCAAAGTTACTACAACAGTGTCTCAATGAACCTGGACTATGTGAATTCCTCAGCGATGCCTGATAAATAATAATGCTGTGTAATTTCTCTGTGGAACTGTCTCTTTGATAATTTGAGTAGCAAAATAAAAGCTCTTTTGATATGAGAATAACTCTTATTACATTAGGTTTGCATGTGGTTTGTATTTGCTTATTCTATCATTACCATATCTATTAACAGTGCTTAGTCTTCATCAGGGTGTGCGTTAAGTCCCGTCAGATCTGCCAAATGATGTGCTTTTCACAGGCTGCCTGTGGCAACACTGTGTAATAAAATGTATGTCATACTGTGTTTTGAAGATACTGAAAAATAGCGGTTTTAAAGTAGTTTAAAGTAGGCCTCCAACTCTTTGAAGTTGAGTGTTGATCAAATGTAATTACAGGGTGTCTGATCATGAAGCTCACACAGTGAATGTGGGCTAAATGAATACATAAATGCACCAGAGCTTTTCTGGTTCCTTCTTCTAACATGATCACAGTATAAGTAACAATATAGTCACAATTTAGTGTTGTTAATGTTATTTTAAAATTGCAAATATAAAATAAAGTCCCTGTTTTAGTGAGATGAAGCAAATAAAGTTATGCATGTATGTAGTTCCGTATTAATATGCCATTAGATTTTGGTTTAAGTTGAGCAGCAGGATTCAAATACAGTGCACTTACCTGACTCACTCTATTAAAACTGCAACACAGGTCCGACAAAATAAAAATAACAATTTGAAAAATCTGCTGATCATGTAGAGCAAAAAATATGCTGGTTCCAATCTTGGCATTTTCCAGTCATGCATCCCTAAATAAACATTTACATGCATCTGTTACACAATGGACAGCAGCTCAGTTTGTATTGTGTATAAACAGATTTGAGTCTCAGCTTTTGAAATATGTCTGTTTGTGTTGATGTCAGGAATAATCTCTGCATAATTAATTCTGTTACATCTAGACGAGATGGTTCAGGCTATACTTCTCCTTTCCTCTCTCTTGTATAGAGTCTGTTTATTCCCAGTGTTTTATAAAAGTTTCCAACCGTTGTGCTGTTATTGGAGGACCTTGAGCCTTTTTTGAGTAATGCTGGCCGTCAGTAGAATCTTTAGTCGATATTTGTCGATATTTAGCTTGTGCAGGTTCTGCAATGTGACCAAAGTAAGAATAAAGCATGAACCATCAGTCTCCGGTCCCAGGATGTCTTCAACCACTGAATGTTTCCTTTCGCAATAATTGGACATTGGAAATGGTTGGACATTGTAGCTCCACGATGCGTCCAGCAGTGCCCCTGATTTACGAATCGTGTTTGGATGGCTTCCAATTTAGGAGTGACCAAAAAATCTAAGATTCTTCCAACACAATTCTCTGAGGGCCCCAGAGCCACTATAGTATTCAGCATGTGCCCAGTCCTCTTCTGAAACCCTAATCTCTGCTTGTTTCTTCGAGTGACCAATAATTTGTACGATTCAGATGCTTCCGTTATCGTGATTTCTAAAAATTAACTTCAGCCCTGTCTCTCCTGTCTCCTGCAGTATATCACGGTTCTGCTGGCTGGAGCTGCTGCCGGCTCCTGCAGGAGAAGCGAGAGGCCATCGTCCACTGTATGACCGAGGGGCGACTCAACAACTTGTTGGACGTCCTCCGGGCGAGGCAGGCAGTGACGCGAGAGGCCTACGAGCTCATCACGGCCGCCCTCACGTTGACCGCTCGCACACGCTGTCTGCTGGACATCTGCTCCTGCCTGGGCGAGAATGTCGCTCTCCTGGTGGCCAGCACCCTGGGTCTGGTGTCCAGAGAAGCCACTCACAGCTATAGCCGCACCCAGATGGCGTCCAAGGGGCAGGCAGGCTAAGTGAAGTCACGCCAGGCAGCTCTTCACACAAGCATTCCCATTTTGTTTAACGTTGACATCTAGAGAGTATCTAGAGAAGCATGGTGATCAGGCGGAGGTCTTTCAGAAGATAAAGAAAACAACTGGACACTCGGAGGTGTGATGCTACTATGCTTGATCAGATAAATTGATTGATCAGATTACGTCAAAGTCATCACACAACATGTAAAGCGTGCTTAATCACCAGGATTGTGTCATGTGGAGGTGTTAAAAGTTTAATAGTCACTGGTTCCAGACGGCCCCACCCTCCAGGTGGAATAAAGGAAAAAGCTCATCTAAAGAGGTCAGTTTAGTGATAATTACAAAACCAAACAAGCGTTGTATATAAAACACCTTGCTGATGAGTGAAACTGCGTTTTCTCCGTTCATCAAGCAGACTGTTCCTCTTTAACATGATACAGTTTACGGTGCATTTGATCGTATTAGTGACTTAGTTATATCATTAGTTTGTTACATTTCAGAAATCTTTTTAAGGGCAAAGTTGCATGTCCAGTTTAAATGCCTTGTGCTTGTTTACTTTTTAAACATGTTGTTTGAAAGGTGGGAAATTGTGCATGTTGTACAGCAAAGAGAAACCGGCTCTATAGTAGTAGCAGACTTTATCCTGCTTAAATAGTAGCCCAAACGTCGTGTATCTTGTAACAAGAACATTTTTATTATTTTTCTTTCCATAGTATGACATGTTGATGTCTTATGTGTGGCAGAGGTGCATTAATCAACATTATGTTTAAATGAATCCTAAATGTGATTAAGCTACTGTGGATTGTAAATGGTTGTAAATTATTAAACTTGGGGGAAAACTGGATCCAGCACATTCTGCCCGTGTGTATTTGTGTCTTGTGTGCCGTATCGTGCCACTCTGCTCCTCACAGACTCTGTCTAATTACATGGCTGGTCTTCACTCGTGTGATTTCATAGAAAACTGTGGAAGCCCCTCTCTAAGGGGGCCTTTAGCTGCACATGTTAAAATTGCCACTCAAGCTGTAATATTTAATGTGCTGCTTGGTTTTATGTTCGTCTTTGGTTCCACATGAGATTCCCAGAGCAGTCAAATCTACGTAAAAAAACCTCCACGTAATTAAATGTTTAAAGGGGATTTACAGTGTTTTTTGTTCATTTCTGCATAATTCAGTCATTAAGATGTAAACAAGGTCACATCAAAACAATTCAGGTAGTTTAAATGTAAAACGGTTCATCACAGAAACACCGACTCATATTTCATTACAGTGGTGGTGATAGGAACCAGGAGTCACAGTGTCCACAACACAAATATAGTCATTTTATTTGCCAACGAAAACCAGATGAGTGTCCTCAGCGTTACGTAAAGGCTGATCATTTTACATTAGCAGTAAAGTTGTGTTTGCAGACTATTTTGCCGTAGGGCCTCCTGTACATATCTTTTTTTTCAAAAAGTGTTTTTTAGGCTGAAAGCTTATCTCGAAACTGTCATAAGACAATGTCTCTGGAACTGAGCATTATTTTAAGAATTTGAGAATCATTTCATGTAAAAAAACTTCTGTGAGGGAGCTTTTAAAGGCATTTAGCACCAACACCACTGTAAACAATTGTGACTATCTTGTTTTCTCTAGAACTGAGCATTTTACTTCAAACCACTCTGAATGGCTTTGTTTACACGTGAAGAATACAGTTATGCAGAAAGGTCATAGGAACCGGACGTCTGAAGTGTTTAATGCCTCCAAAAGCCACTGCACAGGACGTTATTACATGAAATAAACAGTTATAAATACATTGCATAATGGCTGAGACACAGTTCAACTGCAGTTTTGATTATAAATATTATATATATATATATATATATATATATATATATATGCATAGTTTTATTTTTAAATACATTCATGGCAGAGGAATACATGCTGGGCGTTCTAAGGCAAAATAGTGCCCAAAGTTTTTGTAGAGATAAGATTCTCTACAGTGCATGATTTTACACCAAACCACTCTGAATGACTTTGTTTACATCTCAACCATTAAATTATGCAGAAATTCCGATGTGAAATTCCCCTTTAATGGAGTGCTTTAATTCCCCTTTAATTCCCCAGTGCTGCATCTCCAGCTAGTTAAGAACATCAAAGACAGAAGCTCGCTGATCGTGGGAGAAGCATGAACAATGAGTTCTACCTGAATTTGTATTGGAGTGTCTATTTTTCCCAAATGAACAGCATAACACCATAATAAGTTTATTCTCAGGGATTTTGAGATATTCAGGGGTCCCAAGAGGACCCCTTGTTTATAACTGAATAAAAGTTTGAAAACCTTTAAATGTTACATTTTTATGTTTTTATCAAAAGAGTCATTCTTAATCAGACCAGAGCTCATAGCTTGCTATTTTGAAATAAATGACAGAGAAAACTATAAATGAATGAATGAATGAATGAATGAATGAATGAAATAGATAGATAGATAGATAGATAGATAGATAGATAGATAGATAGAAATGAAAGTAGATAGATAGATAGATAGATAGATAGATAGATAGATAGATAGATAGATAAATAGATAGATAGATAGATAGATAAGTGATTTATTTATGGTTTTAGCTTTGCTTCATGATGACTCCCATCAGACTCCCCATCATGGAAAAGACTCGAAATACCTGACTGACTTAAAAGCAGCAAACAAACTCAACGTCCAGCGTTGGTTACTCCTCTCTAATCTGTCCACACCTCACAGGCTTCACACACTACTGGACGTCCTCTAACTGGAACTATCATCTGCCAGTAAAGGGGACTTCCACCAGTTTTTCAAAACTCCTGCATAATTAAATCATTAAAATGTAATCAAATTCACTTAGAGTTGTTTGGTGTCAAATGCTCTGATCTGGAGAAACGTACTGAGTCAGAGTGGTTCCCTGTGGTAGTGATAGGAACCAGAGGTCTGAATTATTCAGTGCCTCTGAAGCTCCTTCACAGAACATCATTACATGGTTATGAATCTACTGCCTGATGCCTGAGACATTATTTCACAACATTTTTGAGAGAACATTTTGACCTGCAATGTTCCTTCAGTCATCCATTCATGGTGGAGAGGTACATGCACAAAATAGTCCTGTTTTATTTTTTTCAGATTTACTACAATTTTACAATTATAAACAGTAGATATATAAACTCAGAAGTGTGTGGGTTCACTGATGGTTTTGCATAGTGAACAAAAAGGCTAGATTTGCATTGTAGACAAATCTAGCCTTAACCAGAACCCCTGGTTCTATCACTGCATGTGGAAAATGGCTCATCAGATCAACACAAAAAATGACTTTTTGTGGTAACAAGCAATGGAAGTCAAAAAATGACATCGATTAAAAGAGTCCTCCGTTCACAGTGTGTATTTAGGTTGAACAAAACTAGTTCATTTCACTGCTGTCGGAACAAAACCTCGTATCTCTCCAAAGTGGTAACTGTACAGGAGAGGGAAAAAACTACTTTACTTTCAATGTAATTCAGTGGAACCAGACTTTTTTGGGTCGTTTCTTTTGGTCCATTCATCATGAAATTTACACACTACGTAAAGGCTAACAAGTATTTTCAAATTATGTCAAAAACTGAGAAATGACAAAAGTGGAGATATGAGGTTTTCTTCCGACAGCAGCGATTTACTTGTTACCACATGAAGTAAATTTTTAGGTTGTTAGTGGAATTCCCCTTTAACAATGCAGCCCCTAGAACTCATGGAATTGCATGGAATAGCAAAGTGAAGTGCCTTTTACTTGCATGGCTGTATAACATAATATAATATAATATAATATAATATAATATAATATATATAGTGTTTACATTGCAGCTGGCGTAACCCAAGGTTAACCCAAGTTTCAGGTGTCCCTGTGCTGTATGTATGATGGGATAGTGGGTGAGTACAGAAAGATGCGAAGCCTTAAAAATATTGACATCATATGTACAAAAAATGGGAAAAATAAAATAATAGAGCTGTTCATAAACAGAGTGTCAGAAAATATGCCAGTATCTTCTATTTATCTATTTTTTTTCCTTTTGTTTGCATTTCAGCTCTTTATATTAAAGTTAACTGATTTAGTCGAATCTGGAAGAGAAATCCTGCACTGCCTTTAATCGATATTCTGACGTAGGCCGCTTGGCTGGATTGTGATTGGTGGATTTAGCCATTAAAGAGACACCCACGTGACAGCGATGTTACCGGCATCACGTGACTGTCTGGCAGTTTGCCTGATTCGCAGGGTGTTCAGGTTCAGCCGGGAGGAGAGATGCTGCCCGAAGCGCGGACGCTGAGACGGGGCTCGAGAGGATAAACGGCGAGCACGAAAAGGTAAAACATGGTCAGAACTGCGAGTCGGTTACGTTTAAATTCAGTCAACGAGAAATGTCATTACTGGAACAAAACAGCGCCGCGGTGCGTTTCATCTGTGCTGCGCTCGCTCCAGCAGCTCTGTGTCGAATGAGCTGCGCGCATTTTCGCTGTTTTGATGTATCGCTCTGGTGTAAAGTCGCCGCGTTGCTCGGAAACACTCAGCCTTACAGCGGTTCCTCGGTGGTTCCGCTGCCGTGTTCACTTCATAAACAGGATGTGGTAAATTATGAAGCCGTAGAGGAGAAGGAGCCGTGTTTTCTCAGAGGTCTCGGATGTGGACAATAGAAATAGTCTGGACTATAGAAATAGTCTGGACTATAGAAATAGTCTGGACTATAGAAATAGAGTATTGTCCAGTTCCGAATGGGAGTCAGTAACTGGGCTCTGACATTAAAGCCAGGTTCAGTGCAGTGCAGGGGTAGCAGGAAGGGGGGAAACTGGCTCTGTGGACAGGAGAACTGGCTGGACGTGATGAGCAGAACTGGAGCGTCTTTTGTTGATTAGACCCAGTCCTGGTGCTTTTCTAGACCCCGTTTTAGGACACAGATAGGCTCGCTCGTCTCGGTCCGCCTGTGCGTCAAACTCATCCAGAATGGAAGTCGCTCAAATTGTGATCGGACTCTTTTCTCACGCGCTGGTCAGCGTGGTTTAGGCTCAAGGCTCTTTTCCTGCATCCGTGTACAGAGTCAGTCCCCGTAAAAACACGCTCCTCCGCTGCTTCCACAACAAAAGAGGTTGCCTGATTTTACGTTGAATCCACGCGCGTTGCCAGATTGTTGTGAAAAGCGAACGTTGCTGCTTCTGTTTCTATTGGTTTAATTCGTGACAAAACGCCTCTACGAGGCAGAGCTGAAAGATGCTCTGAAGGTAGTTTGCAGGCAGTTCGTATGTTTTACAGGTTTATATTTACAGCAAACTTTTAAAATTAACATTATATTTGACATGATATGTGAAACTGTAGAGCCAGACAGATGTTACTGCTGGGAAACCGAGTATCACGCCTGTATTTATTAGCCTAATCAATAATAAGAGGTGTATTAGTGGATTTCTCTGTAGCTTCCCAATGGGTATGTGATGTATGTACGCAATGACGCAGTGCATGCTGGGAATTGTAGTGATGCATGATGATGATGTAAAACTGAATTTAATGCAGAATTTATATATATATATATATATATATATATATATATATATATATAGATATATAGATAGATAGATAGATAGATAGATAATAGAAAGAGAGAGAGAGAGAGGGAGGGTGGGGAGCGTGTTTTTAAGGGGACTAACTCTGTACACCACTGCGTGAGAAAAGAGTCCGATCACAATTTGAGTGGCTTCCATTCTGGATGAGTTTAATGTGTTGAGGGGCTGAAGGTGACCAACAAGCGGACCGAGACAAGCGAGCTTATCTGTGTGTGTGTGTGTGTGTGTGTGTGTGTGTGTGTATATATATATATATATTATTAGTTGTTTTGGAATTGAATCGAAAGTTATCTAAGCCAAGCCCCCTGTTTCATGTTTTGGTCCTGACCCAAAAGAGAGAGAGAGAGAGGAAAAAAGACAGTCTGACAAAAGCCTCACAAAAACAAAGTCAGCAATGGGACAGTCAGGCACTCCTAAAATAACAAGAAAACAAGCCTGTGTGCCTCAAGGGCATGAATCAACAGCCAGGCAGGCTCACACAGTGGAGTGGAGCACAAGGTCAAAACCACAGTGACGATGGTGGTTTCCAGGGAAACGTTAGTACACACTCCTCTTGCACCAAGCATTTCTACAGCATGAGCGCAGATGTTTGGGTTATGATGTTCTGGGAATCGTGCTCAGTGATGGGAAGCGGGGACAGATCCAGCTAGAAGTCTCAAGTTGTTTTTTTGCATCCTGATGGGCTCTGGGGGCCTGTTGTCATGAGAAATGTCCTGAGAAATGAATTGCTTGTAGAGACCTGACTGTGCACTATTCTCTGTGCACGTACTTAAAACTGGAGAGTCCTCGTCTAATCTGAGGAATGTGTTATCAGCGCTCCACTGTAAGTGGTGGGTAGCTGCAGATTCAGGAGCTCGCGCTTAATCATTTATAAAGGAACATTTTTCTGTTACCTTGCTCTAATGTTGACTGGTCAAACCCGTGGCCTGTCAGAAATTCTCTAATACATGGTTATAAGATTTAGGTATAGATGTTTCCTCAATTAGTTTGGCCCAAAAATTCCTAAAATGGAAGCGAATGGTTGAATACACAGCAGTATCACTCTGAGCAAAGTTCTCTCTATGTTGGTTACGTCATCAATTAGAGGACATTTGACACATGCATAGTATGTTTGCTATTCCGTTCAGTGCTGACTTCACACCTGTCCAACACATTAGAGTCTAGGTGTGACCAGTGTAATGGTATTTCATTTTGCATTTAAACAAATTAGCTTTAACCCTGTTTTTTTCACTTTATCGCTTGTTTTCGGCCAATGTTAGAATTTTACATTAATATTGATCAGATCTGCACGTTTTGGAATTTGAAGGGGATGTGAATTCCAATCCTGGAGGGCTGCAGCACTGTATAGTCTAGCGCTCTAACATGCTAGTGGTGTTATTAGCCAGTCCTAAAGCCTTTCTGTCATCCCTGTTGTTACCAGGCATGCAGGCGTGTGAGAAGGTGGTTCGAGTTGCTGAAATTTTAAGCCGTATGTACACAATGTACACAGCGACATCCTGCAAACAAATGAGTTGCCTATTTTAATCAGATTTTTACAAATGTAACATTGGACCATTTCAGTTGGTCCATTTGGTAAGAAGTGTTCACCCTCTGTAAAGACCGTATGGCATTTTCAAACGTATGAAAAATCAGTGTCAGTGGGTTTCATTTCCACGCACAGCTCATATCACTGCTCATGCCTTTACAGCGAGACTCAACCTAACATTACATTTACATTTACAGCATTTGGCAGACACTCTTATCTAGAGCGACTTACAATTTGATCATTTTACACAGGTCGGTGAAGGCAGTGTTGAGAGGCTTGCCCAAGGACTCTTATTGGTATAGTGTAGGGTGTTTACCCAGTAAGACATATGTATGTATCACTCAGACGCAGTTCATCCTTAGATGTAGAAGCTTTTTTCTGGGTTTAGGAAAGTGAATAAATCTGTTAGACCTGCTAACTAGCTATCGCTATCAAACTAGGCTACAACATTAGTCTTCTTAATCCAGTGGAGAGCTACAGCCTGTGGTAGATAACAAGGTGGCGATATCTTGCCTTATCACAGCTAGTCTGCTTAGTTTTTAACATCCTTGGCAGTCTTCAGCATTAGGTGTAGCTGACTCAGTCTACAGTACAGGAACATAAAAAATATTATATACTGAGACGTGACAGAAAACATGGATTTAAATCAAAGAACCTCCCCATTTAAGCCATAGCTGTTTTCTATTTATTGGTATATAATATCAAACATACTTTGATCAAATTTAACAGGTCCAATAGGCCCAAATGTGTTGAGAGGGAGTTACCACTCTGAATGACTCTCAACTATCTAATTATTGGGGGGATAAATCTCCCCGCCCAGCTTAAATCTATGCCTATAATATAATATGAACAGGTCTTAATAGAACAGTAACGATAAGCTGAATCACATTTTAGACCCTGGAAACCACTGAGCTGCGCTTTGCTGTGGACCTTCTGGACAATGTTAAGAAACTCTTTGATCAACGCGTCTGATGTCACTAACCTTGTTTTCCTCCTGCAGGTTGGAACAGGTCACATTCTGCCCTTTTCTTCTTCCTCTACCACAGCCTACAGGCAGAATGGAGAACCACACCAGCAAAATGAATGGCCAACCTCCAGATGCCACAGAAGATTCTCAGCCCAAGGAGAGCATGCAGCTGAAAAAGGAGATTTCTCTGATCAACGGCATCAGCCTCATTGTGGGCAACATGATCGGCTCGGGTATCTTCGTTTCACCCAAAGGCGTGCTGATCTACAGCGCCTCCTATGGTCTATCTCTGGTCATCTGGACCATCGGTGGGATCTTCTCAGTCATTGGAGCGCTCTGCTATGCCGAGCTGGGCACCACCATCACCAAGTCGGGTGCCAGTTACGCCTACATACTGGAGTCCTTCGGAGGTTTTGTTGCCTTCATCCGGCTGTGGACGTCGCTGCTCATCATCGAGCCCACCAGCCAGGCTGTGATAGCCATCACCTTTGCCAATTACCTGGTGCAGCCACTGTTCCCCAGCTGTGAACCGCCGTACTCGGCTTCGCGACTCCTCGCTGCTGCCTGCATCTGTGAGTGCTGTGCTTTTAGGGCAGGGATGTCAAACTCAGCATGTCATAAAGTACCACAGCTCTGCAAAGGTTAGTGTTCTCACTGAATCCAGCTCATAGAGAGCTAAAGAGCTTAGCCAGGTGTGTTAAATAAGGTGGAACACTAACCTCTGCAGTGCTGTGGCCCTCTGGGACTGAGGTCTGACAGCGTGTTCTTAGATATTTTTTGTTAGTAGATCTTTTTCAGTATTTTTGAGTCATTTTTGTCAATCTGCATAGTTCAGTTGTTGATGTGCAAATGAACCGATTCAAAGTGTTTTGATGTGAAATGATTCATTGTAAGGAAACCTACCGACTTGGATTTATTTAGTGGTGGTGATAGGAACCAGGAGTCATGATGTCTACAACATAAATGTAGCCATTGTACTTACTGCCCAAATATATTACATTACATTTTAGGCCAAAATCTTATTTCCAAGCAATTTTAAAATGGTGTCTCAGGCTTTAGTCAAAAATCCTGTCTCATCATGACAGGGAGAGTCGAACTGAGCCAGGATGAGTTGCTCTTTGTAATTTTCCACAAAAGAAAAAAAAAAAACTCATGCGTGATGAAGTGGATGACTAAATTGCCTGATTGTCTTTTTATTTGCATTCTAGTAAAACCAAAATTTCAAACATTTTGCATACAGTGGCGAACGACCCAGTAATTAAAGTCAAATTTATCTTTAGCTGCATTATCTTTGGGATAAGTTTGAATTTTTCGTTTGCTTCGTCTCCAAGGCTACACTCAGAACTTCAAAGTCTTCTTTGAAGGGTTGTCTTGTGATCCAGGAGGCACAGCCTTGGCCCTGAGCTCAGCCCTGTTCTCCTACTCAGGCTGGAACATATCTTTTGTCTCAGGCGTCGGGCAGCGTATTGATAACCTTTCCATGTAATACATTTCTGTGAGACTGAAATGCTTTGGACATCTGGTTCCTATCATTCTGACTCAGTGAATTTCTCCAGAATGACACATTTCATATCAAACCACTCTGAATGACTCTTAACTATCCGATTATGCAGACATTTTGAAAAAATTCCCTTTAATTTCTCAAAGAATATTAATATAGGTCAGTGTGTCTTAAAGGAGTGGCTTTGCAGAACTACCCCCTTACCTACAAACTGGTCAAACACCAATTGGTCCAGACTTATTCCAGAGTTGTACTGGAGCTTTGAGACTGATGTAGCTAACAACTAAAATGGTTTCTGTTATATTACATACATTTTTATGATAGTAGCCTTGTAGCTTCACTGCACAACTAGAGAAACAAACTCCCGTCAGCGTACATGTCCTGGCTGATCCACTGCCCTTGGGGTGAGGGGGGAATTGTGCAAGTTAGATCTTTATTTTTTGCTGAATTATCGCTTTAAGCTTGGATACAAGTAAATAGGTTTGTGCCTTTTCTTTACGTTTCTTCTTTCTGTACAGACATTCTTAGATGCCTCTTGCTCATTTGTTGTTTTTCGTCTTCTCTTGTCTTCTCTAACTCTCTCTGCTGGTCTCTCTTTCAAACATGTAGCCAGCGAAACACCGAGGCACATTCTCCTCAGGCCTGCCTCGTGTCCAATCCTATTGATCTAATATATCTGTTAATCAGTCACTTTAAATGTTGTTGTTTCGTTCCATGTTGCCCTCCCGAAACTTGTTCTTCTTGTTTTGCTGTGCTCCTCCTCCTCTGCTACCTATTGCTCTTGGATACCTTTGTATCTTTGTTAGTCTTTCAAAGCCTGCACATTCCGATCTACTCGCTCTTGCCGAGATACAAACACAGTTAAGGCCCATTGTGCTTGTCCTGTGTGAATTACTAAGCCTTTAACTACAGTCTGAGCACTGCCCATCTCCCAGACTCACACTTACCAAGTAGATTAACTGTGTTCGCTCTTTTCTGTACAGTCTGTCCTTCCTGTCACTGAATTAGTTGTGTGGTTCCTGCAGTAAAACCACAGCCTGCCTGACATACTCATTACTTCTAAATGTTTTCCTGGTTGCTGCAGGTCTGCTGACGTTCATTAATGCAGCGTATGTGAAGTGGGGCACCAGGGTGCAGGACATCTTCACCTACGCAAAAGTCCTGGCCCTCATCGTCATCATCATTACAGGGATAGTCAAACTGTGTCAGGGTGAGCTGCTCTTTGTAGTTTTGCATTAAAAAAAGACATGCATGGTGAAGCAGATGACTGCACTGCCTGATGGTGGTTTTATTTGCATTCTCGCAAAACCAAAATTATAATCAAAGAAGCTGCTGTATTTTAATGTGGTGGCCAAAAGTAATTAAATTCACCTTCAGCTGTGTTATCTTTGGCATGAGTTTTAATTTTCCATTTGCTTCTTTCACAGGTTACACTCAAAACTTCGACGGCTTCTTCGAAGGGTCCTCTCGTGATCCAGGAGGCATAGCCTTGGCCCTGTACTCAGCCCTGTTCTCCTACTCAGGCTGGGACACTCTCAATTTTGTCACTGAGGAAATCAAGAATCCTGAAAGGTGTGCACAAGTAGTGATTGTTGTATTGAGGAAATATGTCAGTGTTTTTCAACATAGTCACTGTTCTGAGCGTTTATATCGTACTATCGCATGTGGACTTAACACACATATCAGAGGCCAGTGGGCAGCTGCTGGGTTTTGTGAATTTGTGAACACATTTTGTTAGAACACTCGTATGAATTCTCCAGTCAAAGGTTTTAGTAAACTAAGCTGTAAATCAGTGTTATTCCATCTTAATAATGGTACTAGATTTCCTAGGAACCCTAAGGAGAGTGAGTGAACAGAATTGCTGTTTACGGTGCTCCTCCAGTATTAAAGCTGAATAAAACTACGTAACAGCTGTGGTAAGGTGTTGTCTCGTGGCTGTCTCACCCTGAAACCTGAGTGTGTAGCAGCTGTAGTTTTGTAGTTTAGCTGAGCTGTCTGGTGCCAAAAGTAAAATCTCTTTCATAATCACAATAAGGAATTTGATTTTTAGCCAAAGAATTTTAACGGGCTAACGTAGACTTACCATGAGCTACAAGGTTGGAAGACGTTATCATACTGTTGTCCGATTTCAACTTAGTTTTCAGGAAAATCATCTTTTATTTCCATTCATTGTAAAGAAACACCTGTGAGCCCTCAGTCCTAAATGAGTTCCACCAATCGTTGCTGTTAAGTCTGTCAGGCTTTTTGTTTTTTGGATTAAGAATGTTTCCATATGTTTTTTTTCCCCTTGGGAGGCTGTTTTTTCCCCAATATTCCCCCCAGTTTAGTCGTGTCCAGTTCCACCCACTGACTAGGTCTTCCCCAATCATGCAATGCTACCAGCGCTAGGAGGGGAGAGGTGAGCACATGCTTCTTCAGTCATGTGAAGCCAGCCACCATATTCGCCCCTAATGCAAGGTTGTTGGACAAGTCGGCATGTTTGGAGGAGAAGCTAACTGCCAGTCCTGATTCGTCAGTGACCCTTATGTTGGTTAGCATCATGCTGAGCAATAGTGAGGCAAATTTTGCTGTCTTGGACTCCCAGCCATGGATGGCTGTAGCACCGCCGGGCATTGCTCTTATGTGCACATCTGTAGCGTGTAAACACACAACTAACCCTGCCAATATGGCTGACCATTACCATATTACAGAGCGGCGCAGTGTTTATTCCTAAGCTCTGTGGTCACTTAATTAACACATTTAGCTTCCCATCAACTTCTGTTGTGTTTTGAGTAAACTGGATTTCTGGTACAAGAAGTGATGTCTGTGCTAATCGACCGTACAGTACAAACCGCAGATGGAGATTAGGCTGAAAAACTGTGGAATAATATTGAAAATTTATAATAAATTGAAAAAAACAATAATTTAAAAGTTAAATGTGTCTGAAAAGATTTCGTGGGAGTTTGTAAGACGACATCATGTTTCTTGCTTGATGTTCAGGTCTTAAATGCAAAACCAACATTATACTGATAAAGATATGATAAGAACAGTGATTTACCTACATCCTCGCCGTAAAAAGAGTGCAATTACACATTTCCACAGTCTCCAAATCTACTAATCTTACAAACAGCTTTAAATATTTTCATTTAGAAGCAGCAGTTTGAACTGTAAGGGTTTCAGTGTGTTCATTTTCTCAACATACAACTTGTCTGCCTTTGAAAACAGTTAAATGAATGGAAAACACAAGAAAAACGTACTCAAGTACAAACGGCACTACCTTTCCCACTCAAATAATGTATGTTCGCTTAAGTTTGCTGCTTCAGTAAGATTCTTCTTAAACCTAGTCACTTAATCCGTCTCCTTCTGTTATAGGAACCTCCCTCTGGCCATAGCGGTGTCTATGCCCATTGTCACCATCATCTATATCCTGACCAATGTGGCCTACTATGCCGTGCTGGATATGAGCTCCATTCTCGCCAGCGATGCTGTTGCTGTGGTCTGTACACATGTAAAACCCGTCGACGTTACGCTGGTTAACTGTCCTTCCAAAATGCTGAAATGAACAAACATGGATTGTGTTGCAATGTTAAGGAGTGTGAGTGTCTGAGTGAGTGTACATGTCTCTAATGCTCCCTGTTCCCACAGACATTTGCTGACCACACCTTAGGAGTGATGAGCTGGACCATCCCCATAGCTGTGGCTCTGTCCTGCTACGGTGGACTCAACGCCTCCATCATTGCTGCGTCCAGGTGGGCTTCGTCGATCTGTGCACACTTTATGACGTCCTCCTTTGACACACTGGCGTTATTTCACATCTATGTAGTATGGATCACACTTTGAATGGATTTGTTTTGGTATTCGAATATCAGCATTTTTAAATAAACAGTATTTGAATAATCCAATAAGAATCTTTTATGTTCCTTAGAATGAAAATCAGCAGTTTTACATGGAAGAAACCATGAAGAAGTGATCTGTCCTGGAAAGCTCTGTTGATTTAGTGGAGGTTGAACCATTGACTGTGTAATATAATGTATATGATATACATTCATTGGTTGAAACATGCAGCCACTGTTGCTCTTACTGAAATGGGAAACTGCGTTCGCTCCAGGGAAATGATGAGTTTATTTATCAGCTTCATGTGAAATGATGAAAATATTACTGAATGACTGAGAGTAATAAATTCTGATTATGTTTATTTTGTCCACTCATAGCTACAACAAAATGCTTTACTCTTTTAATGGGAAAATCTTTTTGTAGGGTAAAATAGCAAATAAGACATGTTTTTTTTTAATCATGATTAACTACACAAAATGATTTGATGAATCTCTATTAATTAATTCACTCTTTGGACTGAAGCTTTAAAGAGGAATTACAGCGATTTTTCAAAGTTTCTACATAATTAAATTGCTTTGGTGTAAACAGTCAATATAGCGCATTATTATAATACAAGAAACGGTTATGAAAACTGAGACATGGTTTTACGATGATTGAGCGATAAGATTTTGGCCTAAAACATATTCTTTTAAATGTATTCATGGCTGAGAGATACATGCAGGGCTGTGTGAGGCACAATAGTCCCCAAATTTCTTTAGTGTTTTACCATGATCAACATTACATATAAAAAACCTAGACACGTCTAGTTTCACTGCAGAGTAAATAACATGCCTATATTTGTGCTATAACCCTGGTTCCTGTCACCACCACTGTAAAGAAATCTAGGTTTCTCTAGAAACACACTAAAACACTCTTAAAGACTTGGTTTACATATTAACCACAGAATTATACAGAATTTCTAAAAAATACAAAAGTGGATTTCCCCTTTAAATCCATGTGCAAAGGACTGGAACTGTATGATTGTGGTGACTTTTATGGCTGTTTTTAGAAGTGATGGAGACTCTAATAATGTTGTTAGACTGGACTTTCCTGTTCTAGTGATTATGTTCTTTGCTGAATGTCTTTGTTTATTTATTTATGCTATTAAATTCTATTTGTTTGTTTTTGCAGACTGTTCTTTGTGGGTTCTCGGGAGGGTCATCTCCCAGATGCTCTATCGATGATTCACGTGCACAGGTTCACACCAGTGCCTGCTCTTCTCTTCAATGTAAGTACACTTTTCTTAGTTCTGCTGGTCTCAGACCCGACTGAAGGATCACACCCGAACATTTAATGTACATTAATCAAGATTTTAATCTTGTTGAAATGTTCACACAATGAAAAAAGGCAGCTGGTGGTTTAAAATGGTGTGAAAATAAATAGAGTTTTTATACAATATCATATAAAAGTGCCTTAAACGATTTCGTGGGAGTTTGTAAGACGACATCATACGTCTTTACATATTATCCTCAAACGCACTCAGGCTCAAAAAGATCCGGCTTAAATTAAACCAACATTATACTGATAAAGATATGATAAGAACAGTGATTTACATACATCCTCACAATGTAAAGCCCTTCGCCAAATTTTGACTGAGTGCAATTACACATTTCCACAGTCTCCAAATCTACTAATCTTACAAACAGCTTTAAATATTTGTATGTAGAAGCCGCAGGTTGAACTGTAAGAGTTTCACTGTGTTCATTTGCTCAACATACAGCATGTCTGCTTTTAGAAACAGTTAAATGAATGGAAAACACAAGGAAAAAAAAATGTACTCAAGTACAAACACAACCACCTTTCCCACTCAAGACCCTCCCTATGAATGCAACTGTGTCACTGATGCCGCATCTAAATGGACTGTTGAAGGGTAATTCCACCAATTTTTCAAAATCTCTACATAGTGCAGTGTTTGAAATATGAATAAAGTGATGGGAACCAGGGCCTCCAACTCCAATATAGTCATTTCATTTACTGTCCAGAACAGTCGGTGAAATGTGAAAATGTGTCACTGGGTAATGGGTAAATGTGTCTTCTGAGGTTTTTTATGTAATGTTGATGGTAAAATAGTTGTAAATCTGAACAGAGCCTTGCATGTATCTTTGGCGTAAATGGGTTTTACAAAATGTTTAGGCCAAAACTTTTATAAGACAGTGTCTCGGGTTTTAGGAAGTGTGGACGTGACCATTTCCTGTAATACATTTCTGTGAGGAAGCTTTTAGAGACATCAAACGTCTGGTTCCTATCACCACCACTGTGAACAGTTCTAACTCTGCATGTTTCTTTAGAATAGAGCGTTTCACATCAGTCCACTCAGAATGACTTTGTTTATACTGTAATAATTTAACTGTGCGCACATTTTGGAAAATTGGTGGAATTCTCCTTTAAGCTGAACCGTTTTCCTTTGGGCTAAGAAACCAAGGTGTTTCAGATGTTTTCAAAGTGGATAAGTATCGTTCACAACAAACCTAATCGTCTCCAAGTGTGCCCTGTAAGCCCTTTTTAATCGTGTCTGCCTTTTTCCTGAACTTATAAAGTTATAATAGTTATAATAGTTATGTGTGGTTTTTTGACCCTCCAGGACTGAAGCTTAATTACTTTGGTCTACAGTTTTCCTCCAAGCTGATGTCTTTAATGTAGGTGGTGAACTGTGGCACCATCTAGTGTTGACTGTGCATCACTGCATGACCACTCACTTGGACTTGTTTTCCCACTTCCAGTGTGCCATGGCTCTGATCTACCTGGCTGTGGAGGACGTCTTCCAGCTGATTAACTACTACAGCTTCAGCTACTGGTTCTTTGTCGGCCTGTCCATCGCGGGGCAGATTTATCTGCGCTGGAAGGAGCCAGACAGACCTCGACCACTGAAGGTGAGAATAGAGCAGTGGTGTTCGGCCTGTGGTCCGTGGCCCCCCCAATGGGCGCCAGTTTTTAATCAGTTTTTTGTTTGTTTGTTTTACAACATGTAAACATTTAATCAAATGTTGTTTTAAATGTGACTCATTAATTGCAAAAATAGAGCATCATATTCAGGTCTACCTGATTTATTAGTCTGAGTTATATTCACATTTTCTGTGCAAGTCAAAGTGAACGATTCTCTTTACGTTCGTATGAAATTCATTCATTCATTATGGATAAAAGCCACATTGTTGCCATTTGAATAATCGTGTTTGATATTTAAGCAGTAGAACACAGAGGAGTGTGTTATCTCGAAATAACATCACTGTGATTTGGTCGCCGTAGATCATCACAGCCGTGATGTTATTGGCGATAACACACTCCTCAAGTGTTCTATTGCTTTAATACAACAGTTAAATAAATAAAGTAATAAATTAATAAACTGGGCCGTGAACGCGGCGTTTAATATGTTTTAATGTTCGCAGTTCCTTCACCAAATTATAGTTCCTTAACGAGCAGCTTGTTGCTACGTCAGAGTAACGAGCTCCGCCCACTCACTGCACAGCCAGCAGTTTGTTCTCCAGCTCCTCACGCTAAATTCCCAAACTGTCATCACCACTGAGCAGCTTTGAACAACCTGGAATCAGCCAGAAATGAACCCAATACCATTCGCCAAACGTGTAGTCTGATCTTCAGAGTCTGACCAAATCAGACTGAGCCATATAACTGCCACAATATCAAGTTCAGCTCAGTTTTGTCAGTTTTTGCCAGATCAGTATTAGTGTTGTTTTGTTCCAGCCAGTCTGTAAAGCATCTTACAGCCCATTTAGTTTGGCGAATGGTGTTGGGTTAATTTCTGGCTGATTCCAGGTTGTTCAGCTGTTCTTCTGTCACAGCTGCCGACTGAAAAGCTGCTCAGTGGTGACAGTTTGGGAATTTAGTGTCATCTCATCTTCAGAGTCTGACCAACTGTCTCCTACAGCTGTCAAAGTCGTTGCTTAGGAACGGCGTCTCAGCGGAGTGATAGTGTTTGTGGAAAGTGAATGTTATGATTTGAAACGTAAAGCTTTTTGAAGTAGTTTAGTTCTATAGGTTATAAACAGCCACCCACCATGATTTTTGCGGTTGAAAAGGGAAATGCGTCATGTCGCAAAGACTTCTGGGTAAGATCTGCTCCTGAAGTCGACGCTGGTGTTCGCTCGATCCCTCTCCCCTCCGAGGGCTCATCTCCCACCCTTCACCTTTCACTTGAGCTAATAAAGTGATGAAACAGGCCGAAAGGTGCCGCTGGTGACCCCCCCAAGGGGAAATGAGGGCTGGTTAAAACTGAAACAGACGGCAAACACTCATCTAAACCTGCTGAACTGAGCCAGACCTCCTTTCACAAGCTCATTTCTTCAGCGCATCATCCAGCACTGGCAGCTACCAAACATCAGCTACCTCATTAGGGGAGCTGGTTATTATAAGTGTGGCGTTTTATATTATAACATCAAGCAAAACTGACCGGCTACATTAAACAGAGTAAAACTGGACTGATATGCTTTGTACTGCATTGCTATTTGAGGGAACGATCAAACTGACAGAGGGAAATGATTAAATAAAGAAAAGAGAATTGAAACTTGGAGGTGAATCAATATAGAGAGAGCAGAATTAAACGAGTATGGAGGAATACAGAGTCAGAGAGTCAGAGAGGAAGCCTCGGCTGCGGCTTCTTACCACAACATGGAACATGGAGAAGTTCCCTCTTCTTTTATTACCATTAAGCAGCAGTTCAGTTCATCATTGGTATTTGTTCAGTCAGATGAGATGTGGTCAAGTTTTATTTTATTATTTTTTTAATTTTTATTTGTTTATAGGGCTTGATGTGAAATGATTACAGCACAAATATAGTTATTTTACCTGCTCTCCACATCATCTGTCCCCAGTGCAGGTCATGGTGTTTAATGGGGAACGTCATTTGTTTTTCAGAACTTCTACATAATTGGATGAGGTGTAAACAAAGCCATTCAGAGTGGTGTGATGAAGTGGTTCACTGCAGACAAACTCGGTCTCAGATTCCTTTACAGTGGTGCTGATGGGAACCAGGGGTTGAAATGTCTACAACACAAATACAGCCATTTTATTTATTCTCCAAAATATTTCTATTATCATTTTTTGCATTCCACTCTGTTATGTTTGTCTCTCAGCCCTGTTGGAGAAAATATGATTTAAAAAAAAAGTTAAAACTTCAAAATCATCATTTTAAAATCACAATTTTTTTTTTATCTTCTGAACAAATGTGTTGCTTCCTGATGAGAAAACAGGCACACAATCCGTAAAATATCTGACAGGATTATCAGCAAAAGCATTTTAAATTAGACTTGTTTGTTTGGCTCCTCTCACCACTCTTTGTGAACAGTGCTGGCTCCATAGGTTTCTCTTGAATAGTGCATTTCACATCAAACAGATATGTTTATATATTATTGAATAGTGCAGATCTGTGGAATTCCCTTAAACAGCAGATGTGAAAAACGTTCCTAACTCCTTACATGTAGGAAGCTTCTGACGACACTGAATCAAAAATGACGAGTATTAATTTATGACGCTGCCTGAACGTCACAGCCGTACTAAACACACATCACACTAACGCTGACTGATTCACCTCCACAGGGACAGAAGTGTCCTGACTCCGAGTGGCACTTGTTAACTCCTTCTTGTCCCCCTCCTGTGTGCTGCAGTTGTCTCTGGTGTTTCCCGTAATCTTCTGTCTCTGCACGGTGTTCCTGGTGGCAGTTCCTCTCTACAGCGACACCCTCAACTCCCTCATCGGCATCGCCATCGCTCTGTCAGGAGTGCCTGTCTACTTCCTGGGCATCCACCTGCCGGAGTCCAAACGCCCTCCTTTTATCACCAAACTACTGCGTGAGCTCTTTTCTCTGGCTGCTTTTATTGTACTTCAGGCTACATGGCTGTAGATTAAGGTGACAAAACATCCCTTTACCCCAAATGGAGATTTCAGCTTAGACACAGTGTCTGAACTGTAAAGTCAGTTTTCACAGAGGAATGGATTTTATAATCCATATGTAGAAACTGATGAGAAATTGTAAAATAATACAGGCATAAAATTCTAATTCTAACTGTAAGTATGACGACAGGGACTGTTATTCTGCTGTGCTGTTATTCACGATAACACACGACTTAGAGCTCATTTACTTTTATACAACAGTTCTGCAAAAAAATAATAAATAAATAAAGCAAAGACTGTTGTATTAAATGTGTTTGAATGATTTAGTAAATGTGTTTTAATATTAGCAAATCCTCCAATTAAAATAGGTTTATCCTTTATCCTTCTGTGTTGTGGACAAACAGCATCTCCTCTTAAATGATAGATCTGCACGTTTCACGGCCCATCTAGTTTGCTGAACCGTATCATGCATTTCTGGGAAATTCCAGCTTCACATACAACTGGAAAGCTTGTTCACTGTAACTTAATCTGAGAGCTGAGGACTGTCCAGGATTACTGGACTGTCCCTCAGCTCCTCCAGTGCTGTGCTTCAGGCATCGCACTGCTAATTAGTGTCTGCAGCTACATTAGTCTTGTAGCTCTAGCATGAAACTAAAGAAGCCAGTGTTGGACACCAGACGTGTCCTGGCAGATCGACTCCATTTGGGTGAGGAGAAAATTGTATGAATTTTTTGCAGAGCTGTCCAAATCTGAGCCAAGTCTCATTAGATGTGTCTGTTTCCTCCACAGGTTCCATCACCCGCTTCACTCAGTTCACCTGTTTCTGTGTGCTCACCGAGATGGACCTGACCGAATGAATCCTGTCCTCTTCACTCCTGCACGAGCGTTCCTGATGGCCAGGCATGCAGGGAACAGGGAAGCACAGATGCAAACTGTGCCGGACTCCTGCTTTATTAAGACTTTCGAGTGGAGGTGAAGGAACTGTCACATGTTCAGTCATGTGACATTAAAAACAAACATTCATTTCAGCTCCCTCCTCTCAGGGACAAGACGGACACTGTGGTATTTGGAATATCACACACGCCAGTGGACTTCATTTGTCTTCCTGTTGCCCAAAGGGAAAGCTGTTAATCTGTTGTAGCATTTGTTTTTCTAATGGGTTTGTTTGGATTGTTTTCTCTGACTTTACGGACGTGGTGGTTTAAATCAGTTAAGTGTTTTATTTATTAACAAAGTTCTGTTTTAAGTAAGTATAACTGGTGGTGGTCCTGAGGGGGTTTTCCACAAAGCTGCATTTCTCAGATGGCCAGATAACTTAAGCCCAAAGATGAAGACTGTCCAATAGGAATGTCCTTCAGCTCTTTTACTACTGGACAAGCTTGAATTTTGGGCTTAAGTTCCACACCTGATCCAACTCACTGGTTTATTACCAAGATTAGTGGGTGTGACAGAGAAATCAGCGAACTGCAGCCCTCAGCTCCTCACTCACGTGAGGTGTTTTAGCCTTTTAGAGCTGGACGAGTCACAGGATTAGTCCTTAGCAGTTTTTTGGAAGAATGAAATGACCACAAGCCTTAGCTCTTATCCAAACGATGTGAGGGGAAATCTTCTGTTTGATGAACTACTCATATCCGATCTGCCGTTATGCTGCTGTTTGGTCATGTACAGGTGTGTTCTTGGGCTTCTGTTACCTTTATGTTGTCACTTGTTCCATAAACGTTGTGGATAGTTTAAAGCAGGGGTCACCTACGGTCAGGGCCGGTGTTGCTGCAGGTTTTCGTTCCAATCCAGCAGAAGCACAACTGACTTCTTGTTTAATCAGTTGATCAAGTTTTCAAACAATTGATTACTTATTCGGCGCTGTTGCTTGGTTGGAATGAAAACCTGCAGCCAAATCAGCCATTAGTGGATTTGTGACCCCTGACTCAGCACCCGCTACCTCTCTCACGCTGCCGTTTGCAGCTGCACCTATGCTCTGTGTATGTTTGTCGTAATTTTCCTCTGCATACTTTAAATGTTTTAATGCAGTATAATCGATTGTGTAATGTCTTAAGGCAATAATGGCTGTCCTTTGGTCTTCTTCCACATTTTAGGAATGTTCAGAGAGATTAATGAGGATGAACGAGCTGAAATATGTAACAGCATGAATGAAATGACTTAAATTAGAGCGTCCTCGCACTGTTCTGGACTAACGTAGGTAAACTCATTTACATGGCAGTTGAGGGAGGACAGAGTGAAGAGACTTAAACCTGGGGCACTTTTGTAAAGTGCATCTGAGGAGGCACATGTTACAGTTAGTGTTATTTAATTTATTGTATAGCCCATCAATAAAACTGTCACTCAGTACATCAGATGCAGATACTCCAATACCTACAGAAACCATACCTTAGAACCACAGTATTCATTTTCAAATCTTTATTTTTTGTTTTATACACATCTACATATGTACAAATAGTCTGTCACCCTTTGGAAACGGGGAATGTTAAAACAAACACACACTCGACAACACAAATCAATCCACACGTATACAAACTCAACTGCTACCATACTTGCCTGTCCGCTCTACCATGCACGTCAAACAGCCGCAGAACAACGCAACGCCACGTAGTACATCATCCGTCTCACTACCACACAATGCAAAGCACCCCGAGCTAATATATGCATCAACTACCACACGTTCACTTTGAACAAAACACCACACAGTAAAAATGGCCCCTCTCGCACTCAAACACGCACATGTGCACACAGAGGGCTTCAGTCAGAATCACAGTCTTCTCTGTCTTCGTCCTCGTCTTCGTCATCCAGCTCCTTCATCACATCCTTCCGGTAGCGCTCCCAGCTCCTCCGGCTGTACGAATGCTCCTCACTCCAACAGCCTGCAGAAGAGAAAAGCCCCAGTATAGTGATGCCTATTAAACCAATAAGCCCAGAGAGGCCAATGTAGAGCGGAGTGCCTAAAACTCCCTTCCCCCTGATAAAAATCGCAGTAACGCACGGCTTCAAGGGGCTTACTGCTTTTATAAAACGGCAGCCAATAAAAATGTGTACTTTACTTTATTCTGAAAATAATATTATTAATAATAAACAAAAGTATTTTGCCAAGAAATGTAGCTCTTTTACAGTATGGTATCATTGCCAAGCAAACACTGACCGCTGAACGCAGAGAAAAACGTCCGGTCGCCCATCGCTGTGTATTGCGGTCATTTCATGAACTTTGTTGTATAACAATGACCGTATCAACACAGCGCTGTTTAATGCAAAAATGTCTGCTTTATAAGTACTTTTTGGTCACCAAATTACCACCACGAGTCTCAAACGGCTCCCTGCTCCCTACATAGTGCACTATGTGGGAATTTAAGTACCGACTTCTGCAGCCCAACAGTGCAAAATATCGCTGAAAAATAGTCATAAAAATCTTTAAAATTTGAAACTTAGAAGTTAGAATTTCAAACCTCCAAGGCTAGCACACTACTTAGGGAGTATGTAAGGCGTCTGGGAGTCAGCCTGGGTTTGACGTGACTTCTGACAAACACGGACATTTGAAGCATGTAAGCCATTCAAGTGACCCTCCTTAGACTTTTATACTGCTGTTTTACCGTGAATCATATCGTAATACTTTAATTCAAATGTGATATTTATGATGCAGCTGTTTAGGCTATTAGCTTTTATCTGTTGTTAGCTAGCTGACCAGCCTGGTTCTAGGTAAGAAAATAAGCTGTCGGCTCCTCAGTTTCAACAAAACCAAGTTATTACTTGATCAGTGCACTCGGTGGTCCATGCGAACGGAATTTAACACCTAAACAAAGCCAGAGGTGTTTGCGTCTGTGTTTTGTTCTTGATTTGATCATGACTAAACAAAGCAATGACCTCATTTTGTCCAATCACTGATAAAACAAATGTAATATTAGCTGGCAATTGTAGTAGCAAACACATCAAAGTGCATCAGAATTTCTGAAAGAACAATACTAGTTATGACAAAGACCTCTCCAAAAAAATCAGCCTGATTCTTTTCATTCATTTCAAAAAGCCATACTTCACACAAATCTTCTAAACACTGTTTGCTACAATTGTTATATTGGCTTTTATACCACAGTTAGCTCAGATGATACGATCTCAGTGTTATGGACGTGTTCTACGCATGTTACAGCACGTTTTTCTACAATAACTCATCCCACTGAGCACCTAAGTAATGAGACTCTTTCCCGCTGCAACTAACCGTTACCAAGTTTCTCCTTCAGCGCATACAAGAACAGAAAATGGATACATTACATAACTTCAAGATCATATTGATCTGCAGCCCATTTGGTCAGATTCTGAGGACTGTAAGAGCAGGAATAAATCAATACTGAACCTCTTGTAGACGCGTTTCCACATTTAAGTTTTTGGGGAGTGCTGACCCTGCAGGGCAGTCTCTGCCCTGTGCATTTTCTTTTAATGAAGTGATGTAATGTTAGTTTGGAAACGTTTCCAGTCAACTCATCAAAAAGACTTTTACATTATTATTATTGATATAATTATTATTATGCCATTACTGTGGTTTTATGTATCAAAAATGGTCTTAATTCATTTTTACATGACCATTTTCCAACCTCAGGCAGTTTTTGTTGCTGTGCCGTTACGCTCTGTTCTGACTGCCCTGTATTGTCTCATTTAAAAAGCACTCAGAGGTGAGACTCCTTATGAGTAGGTAGAGCTAAACTGCTGTGGAGTGAAGATGTGGATAAATGTAAAGGAGGAGTTGATTGTGGTCATCACAGAAACAACGAATTCAAAACCAGCTGTTCAGTTTTGATATATGACCTGGGCAGCGAATAGTACATTTTGAAACATGAAGTGTTTCTGTGAGGGTCAATGGGGGTCCTGACCACTGAAGAACAGGGTAAAAGGGGGCTGACAAAGTATCAGAGAAACAGATGGACTACAGTCTGTAACTGTAGAACTACAAAGTGCACCTATATAGTAAGTGGAGCTGATAAAATGGACAATGAGCGTAGAAACAAGGAGGTGGTCAGAATGTTATGGTGTATAATGTATATAAGCAAGTCTATTTGAGAGAACTAACAACTCAATGAAGTTTGAGGAAGGGTGCGATGATTTAGGCATGCAGTGTGGCTTTTATTACAACTTATCTAAATTAGCTTTGTAGCTCCAGATCAAAACAAAAGAAGAAAGGACAACAAACATGTCTTGGCTGATCAACTACAATTACGCACATCTGCTTTAAGGCCTGCCGACAAACTGTTTAGTAAACATGAATCAAATGTAAACCAAAAACACACCTCCATAGCGCTCTTCAGCATCACTGTCTTCTTCACTGTCCTCCTCATCTGGATAGTCGTTTCTCCAGTTGCGCTCTTCATTCTCGTCGTCCTCATCTTCGTACACCTCCTCCTCCCAGGCTACGTCCTCAGGCACCTGTAAATATCAATTCAATCACAATAACTGTGGCTTCTCTCATAACTTTAGGCGTCATTTTTTCAGAACAAAACACCACTGTTTTGGTATTTGTTACAATGAATCATGGAAAGTCTGGGAGACAACATACAGACCAACAACGCAGTGAAACAGTTACATTTTAACAAGTGAGACAATTTAACAGGTGAGGTCAGACTCTGAAGATGAGACGACACTAAATTCCCAAACTGTCATCACCACTGAGCAGCTTTTCAGTCGGCAGCTGTGACAGAAGAACAGCTGAACAACCTGGAATCAGCCAGAAATGAACCCAACACCATTCGCCAAACTAAATGGGCTGTAAGATGCTTTACAGACTGGCTGGAACAAAACAACATTAATACTGATCTGGCAAAAACTGACAACACTGAGCTGAACTTGATATTGAGGCAGTTTTATGGCTCAGTCTGTACTTCAAAAGGTGAGGCTTACAGCAGACTGAGCAGCGAGTGGGCGGAGCTCGTTACTCTGACGGAGCAACAAGCTGCTCATTAAGGAACTGCGAACATTAAAACATATTAAACGCCGCGTTCACGGCCCAGTTTATTAATTTATTACTTTATTTATTTAACTGTTGTATTAAAGCAATAGAACACTCGAGGAGTGTGTTATCGCCAATAACATCACGGCTGTGATGATCTACGGCGACCAAATCACAGCTGTGATGTTATTTCTCGATAACACACTCCCTCTTGTCTTCTATTGCTTAATTAGTTAAAACCAAAATCAATAAAAAGATCAATTCTCAATGTAACCTTGACACATACTGGCACATCACCCAGAGAGAAAAAAGGATGTGTATAGAAGACAAACTATTAGTGTTTACCTCAGAAACTGTAGACAGTTGTACAATTTTTTGAAAACTCTATTCATTCTGGCCATATTAAAATGGAGCTCAGACCTGGAGTTCCTAATATGGGCATAAGAGCATGGCGCCGACTACAAAATGACGACACGACTACAGTGGTCTATTTACCCCCGGTTCATTAAGGACTTGCTTGCAGGAGCCCCCTTTGGGGTTCTCCTGTCCTGTTTTTGCTATAATGGGGGAAATAGGAAGAAGCCAGGCTCCTCTTTAACTGGCTTTGATCAGACCTCGAAAATTGTATGCCAATCATATCAGAAAACATGGGGGAGAGTTTTACTGGCTCTGCAAATTAACTTAGGCAACCGCTGAAGCTGAAGATAGGATTGTAGCTAAAAGCTCACTAAAATAAACCTTAGACTTAAAATCTACGATGTGCCAATTTAACCAAAGTCTTTTTTGATACATTTTCTGGCTGTTGCTTCTCTAAACATTCATAATGAAAAGATATTTTGGGCCATTAAAAAATTCTCCCCAGGACAAGCTTAGCCTTCCTGTCCATAAACCCCTAGTGACGCCCCTGTATGTCTCCATTATGAAGTCGTAGCCATGCCCATATTATGAACTCCTGGTTTTCTCTATGGGAAAAATGAATGTTGTTTTGCTGCTATACCTGCTACTATCGTGTCCTGTGGTAAACAAAAACGTTCCAAAGCCGTTTTTCCTCACATACATTTTTCCTCTGAATCACTGGATCCTCTGAATTACAAGGTCTTTAATAAGGAGTCAAATTATGAATATGATACTTCCAAGCTAACACTGCTGACATAGGATAGCAACTGACACACGACTGGCAACCTCACCAGAATACCTCACGCACACCAGCAAGCTTCCTCAAAGAGGTAGTTAGGCTGCTTTGACCATAGTAACCTACAGTTTAAGTAGCTGGTGATGTTATGTAATAATATCATACAGCATCATTTCATTGTGTTCCCTTTCTAGCGGCATACGTGAAGCATTATCTGTATTTTGACTGCTAAAACACCTCGTAATTCAGAGTATCCAGCGTCACTCAGAGGAAAACTGTATACAGGATAAAACGTATCTTTTGTAACGTTGTTGTTGACCACAGGGCACCACGGCAGCAATTTTCAAAAACACCAGTCATTTTTCCAAAACCACAGACTACCACACTGAACAGTACATCAGAAATAGTACATCACCATTAGAGCTTTAGTGTTTCATGTGTTAGTTCGTGGTTTTGGATGCAGCCCTGTAGTTCCTAATGTGGGTGCAAAGTGGACTACAGAGTGACCGTCTGTTTCACCATCTAATGGGTTTAAACTAAAATCTAAAAATACAATAATAAATCAAAAAATAGGAAACATTTTTATTTGACCTTCTGTTGATTCACCACTATGGGGCACTGCACACTAAAACAGGATTCCATAAATAAAAGGAAAGCATGGGATATTACAGTTATAATATACTTTTAAAAATGATCGTATTATCATAAACACATGCAGCGTTTGGCGTAAAAACATCTACTCTATAAGTAGCCTGTCCAAGTAGCACCACTAAGCTATTGTTATCTTTCATTAGCACTTTATTGAGGTTCAGTGTTAGCACCAAACTGATTCTGCTATTCCTTGATTCACCCATCATTAAGTCATTAACTCTTATGGATACTTAGCCAGAACGCACATCCCCATTACTGTCCACTCACCAGCTCCCCCTCCTCTGTATAGGGTCTGACAGACAAGATGTCCTGTATCCAGCCTGGTGTGGCTGTTTCCTGGTAGTACAAGTCATAGACGTAGTCATCTTCCTTCTCGCGATGTTCGGTTCCAAGTCCATCAGTTGACAAGGTCAGCTTCTCGCGAATCATCTTCACTGAATTGCACAGGATTGTTTCTGGGTCAGACTTCATATTCTGGGGAGAAGAAAAGGGCGATCAGCTGCTTGTTACTACGCCTGTCACGATCATGACATTTCAGCTGATTGACTACCATAAAATAACTGCGTTTAACTATTTGTCTTTGTTATAAGAGTTCAAGCCTAAAGCAACCAAACTGACTGATCAGCTGTCTTGCTGTTAATACTTAGTAGCTTCCAACTGACAACAGACAGCTCAATCTCAAGAAGACAAACGTTACTTAATGCCTCCTGCTAAACTTTTCATAGCACCAGTTCGCTAAACTCTCTTCTGCTTTCTTTTACTAACATGCATTTGCCTCAACCCAACTGATGAAAATGCGCCCAATTCAAATTTTGTTTGTTGCAACGTAAACATGCAAGTATGGAAAATAACTGGGCCTATTTGTTACTCTGAAGTCTATGAGGGATGAGTATCGAGAACGGGTACTAAATTGGTACCGGTTTCTGACTGGTCAGTACCAAAATACCGATACCTGGAAAAAGGTTCTGCTGTATTTATGTTATGTTAATTAATTCTACACAGCAGGCTTTTTCAAACGGGGCTAGACTAGATACCACCGACCACCTCAATGATTTAGAACGCTGAGGGTCATTCTGTGCTCTGGTCAAGGCTGAAAGGGTAAGATATTCAAAAGGATGGGTTCACTTTACTAAACTTACTGATAATGTAGCTAAATGTGATATATGTAAAGCGGTAACTGTATGTAAAAAGTGTAACAGCATAAATACAACGTTCTATAAATCTGAAGCAGTGCAGCGTATTTGCTTTAGCAAAGCAGCTGCTGTACCAACATCTTCAGTGCAGCCTCCCAGTGCTCTGATGGCGTCTGCTACCTTGTCAAAATGTCCCACCATAGCACAAATTTATAGGTAGCTCCCTACATAAAATTCTAGGCAGGATATTTTGATAGCTTAAATCACGTCACCAAAAATGCTTAAAACTTTAAAACTGCTTCCTATCTGCCAATTTCTAGTTAGAATCTTCCCATTCCACCCCAAATGGAAATCATTAATAGTGGAACTGGACCATTTGAATAAGACGTTGACGGATAGGAAGCCAACTTCAGCCACAGACAGGACAGTTTGATAGTCTAAATGACCTTATTAGAAAATGTTTCCAGCATTAAAAGAATAATTAGGATGTTTGATAACCTAAATCAGCTTATCAGTGGGGAAGTAGTGATATTTAGCTCAGTCTGCACTGAATTAAAATTCAAGAACTAGCATAGCATAAATCCCTAACTGCTAATAGCCCAAGTCTGAACCTGAGCCTCCTGATAACCAGGGGAAAGTAATTTTGAACTTATGGTTGTTAATATTTTCAACTGTAGAGAGATGAACACAGCCTTTTCACATCTTTTCATGTCACTCCTTTGTTTTTGTTTTTTGCACCAATTTATGGAAAGCAGTATTAATAAAAGTCCTGATAAGTATCAGTATCGATAATCAGAATCGCTATCAATAAAATCCTAACGACTCACGTCCCTACAGTTTACGGAGTTACTATATACTAACGCCTGCTATGAACAAGCTTTCAGAAGTGGTTAAAATCGGTCTTATTTATGATACATGCAGCTCATTGTTCTAGAACTACTGAAAATACCCAGGATGTACATACATATACCAAAGCTTTGGTATATGATAGTTACTTTTCATAACATTACGATAAAGTCCACAACTACCTTCACTGACAAACAGTGCGTCTACATCTCACTGTCCTGCTGTCCTGCTGTCCTGGTTCTACTTCACACTCATTGCTCAACTGATTCTCACCTTGCCAAGAGCTTTCTCATCCTCCCCATCCTCCTCCTCCTGAACGATATCGAACACCTGCACATCTCCCAAAGGAAAACACGGATCCGTCTCTGTCTGAGCACCGTTCTCCTGGGCCTCCCTCTCTCTTGCTGTGGACGGATCTGCTGGAAGCCCCTGCCCGGTGGCTGGAGAGGATCCGGTACCGCTCCTCTCGCCTGGTGCTCCATTTGGCACTGCGCAAGTCACCAATGATCCTCTGGGAGCTGCCCTGAGAGGGACGCAGGGCGTGAGCCAGGCGAGGGCGGGACAGAGCCTCACGGACGTGTGTCTGGACTGGAGCATCCTTAGGAAAGATGTGACAAAGAAGAGAGTTGAGTGTTTATTGGTGGTCAGACAACGTGTTGCAAAATCTTTGCTATTTTGAAGTGTCGATGTTCAGCATTTGTGCGGTTTGACTACAGTTACACTCACTTCACTTACATTAAAGGGGAATTCCACAGAATTCGCTAATTTCTGCATAATTACATTGGTAAAATTGAAACAGTAGTTCAAGAAATAGTTATGAAGCCCATGGCCTGAGATACTGTTTATGATAGATTTGAGATATGGGTTTGGCCTAATGGTACCCTATTTCTTAATAATACCGATATTTTGTCTTTAAAAATATTACCTCCAACCGTTTTACACAATACACCGATCAGGCATAGCATTCTGACCACCTCCTTGTTTCTACGCTCATTGTCCATTTTATCAGCTCCACTTACTATATAGGTGCACTTTGTAGTTCTACAGTTACAGACTGTAGTCCATCTGTTTCTCTGATACTTTGTTAGCCCCCTTTTACCCTGTTCTTCAGTGGTCAGGACCCCCATGGACCCTCACAGAGCAGGTACTATTTGGGTGGTGGGTCATTCTCAGCACTGCAGTAACACTGACGTGGTGGTGGTGGTGTGTTAGTGTGTGTTGCGTTGGTCCAAGTGGATCAGACACAGCAGTGCTGCTGGAGTTTTTAAACACTGTGTCCACTCACTGTCCACTCTATTAGACACTCCTACCTTGTCAGTCCACCTTGCAGAGGTAAAGTCAGAGACGATAGCTCATCTGCTATCGTCCACCACATCAGTGTTACTGCAGTGCTGAGAATGATCCACCACCCAAATAGTACCTGCTCTGTGAGGGTCCATGGGGGTCCTGACCACTGAAGAACAGGGTAAAAGGGGGCTAACAAAGTATCAGAGAAACAGATGGACTACAGTCTGAAACTGTAGAACTACAAAAATGCTAAGTAAGTGGCCAGCTGAAGTAGTGATGTGGCGTCTGGATAAACATTCACGCCAAAACATAAAAGTTGGATTAATAGCTGAATTCATATTTAGCGAAACTGTGAATATTTACTAGTCTATCTGCGAATAAAGGAACAGCAAAGCACAACAAACCGGGCAGCTAATGTAGCTGAGCTAACCACAGTAACGTGTATAGAGCTAAACTGACCGACAGACTCTGCCCTCGTTTAATAACGATAACAATAACAATCGTAATATAACATTAATAACATTAATAACAGTGATGATAATGGCTTCGGGTTTATTTCTCAGCTAATTAGTACTAAAATAACCGCAGCGCGAGCGACGATATCCAGGTAACTGAAGCTCAAAGAGAAGTAAAACAGCGCGAAACCCGGGATTCGCCACCTGTGAAGCCACCGTGGCCACGAGCTTAAAGACCGAGCTCTCTATGTCGGCCTCCGCGGGCTCCGGGACGGGCTCGGCTGAGGGCGGCGCTGAGCTCGACTCCGGCCGGATCCGCTTACACGCCAGCAGCAGAGCGTCCGCGGGGTCGGTGCCCCTCTTCCGCTTCACTCGCAGAATCGTAGTGCTCGGATCCATCCCGCGCGCAGCTCCGGCCGCCGTGTTTAATACGAATCTGAATAAGAAGCCTCGAACAGGTCAAACTCCGTAGCCGCGGGGTCGGCAGCACACAGGCGGTGGGGTTAGCAGCACACAGGCGGCGCTCTCTGCTCTGCCTCGCCTTATTTATTCCATCATGCGTCTCACAGTGTCTTGAACTGTGCCGACATCACCGCCACCTAGTGGGGCGGAGCTCGCCGCTGTGGCTGCCCCTTTCCACCATTAAAAAAAGCTTTTTAGTTCGTCATAAAAACGAGAAACTTTCTCAAAATTATGATTCGCGATGTTGGTATTCCTAATTATGACTCCCTATCTCATAATAATGATGCGTATATGAATATTATGATTTATAATTTCATAATTAAGTTGGCTTGAAAAAGCGAACTTACTGTTCTTCGTAATCTTCTTATTATTATTCTACGCTCAAAATATTAAATGTTTCTCATCCCACAGTTTTCGAGCTAGAGCCACGAAACTTTCCAGGATCGTAGGGCCCATATCTGATTAGGGTGTGTCTGCTTTTGTAAGGAATCCGACGGACGAATTTCGTAAAATTATCGTTCAAAGACAACATTCTTTCCCATAGGAAATGAATGGGCGGAATGTTCTGGACATTCAAATTTGTGATGTCACAACAGGCTGCTGACACTCACACACACTCACACTCACACACACACACACACACACACACACACTCTCACACTCACACACACACACACACACTCACGGAACACATAGTCTAACACGCTCACAGCCTAATGCACAGCAGGATCAGCACACATAATTAATTTTTTAAGGTGGAACTGCTTTTAAGGTGGAATTGCACTTAGGTAGCACAGACTTTAAGGTGGAACTGCTTTTAAGGTAGCACTGACTTTAAGCTGGCACTGAAATTAACGTGGACCTGCATTTAGGTTTGCACTGAATTTAAGGTGGAACTCTCCTTAAGGTAGCACTAAAATTAAAGTGGAACAGAATTTAAGGTGGAACTTTAACATAGCAATAATATTAAGGTGGAACTTTTTAAAGGTAGCATTAAATTAAGGTGGCACAGAATTTTAGGTGGAATTTCTTTTAAGGTGCCACAGAGTTTAAGGTGGAAAATTCTGTGCCACCGTTCATATCGCTGTTATTAACAACGGCCGCCACATCGCTTTATTAACGGCGGTCATATCGCTTTTATTAACGGCCGCCACATCGCTTTTCTTCGCTTTTATTGTAGGCGGCCATATCGCTTTAATTATCGGCCGCCACATCGCTTTATTAACGGCCGCCAAATCGCTTTATTAACGGCCGCCACATCGCTTTATTAACGGCCGCCACATCGCTTTTCTTATCGGCCGCCACATCGCTTTTCTTATCGGCCGCCACATCGCTTTTATTAACGGCCGCCACATCGCTTTTATTATCGGCCGCCACATCGCTTTTCTTATCGGCCGCCACATCGCTTTTATTAACGGCCGCCACACCGCTTTTATTAACGGCCGCCACATCGCTTTATTAACGGCCGCCACATCGCTTTTATTATCGGCCGCCACATCGCTTTTCTATCGGCCGCCACATCGCTTTTATTAACGGCCGCCACACCGCTTTTATTATCGGCCGCCACATCGCTTTTATTAACGGCCGCCACACCGCTTTTCTTATCGGCCGCCACATCGCTTTTATTAACGGCCGCCACACCGCTTTTATTAACGGCCGCCACATCGCTTTATTAACGGCCGCCACATCGCTTTTATTATCGGCCGCCACATCGCTTTTCTTATCGGCCGCCACATCGCTTTTATTAACGGCCGCCACACCGCTTTTCTTATCGGCCGCCACATCGCTTTTATTAACGGCCGCCACATCGCTTTTATTAACGGCCGCCACACCGCTTTTCTTATCGGCCGCCACACCGCTGTTATTAACGGCCGCCACATCGCTGTTATTAACGGCCGCCACATCGCTTTTATTAACGGCCGCCACACCGCTTTTCTTATCGGCCGCCACATCGCTGTTCTTAACGGCCGCCACATCGCTTTTATTATCGGCCGCCACATCGCTTTTCTTATCGGCCGCCACACCGCTTTTATTATCGGCGGCCATATCGCTTTTATTATCGGCCGCCACACCGCTTTTATTATCGGCGGTCATATCGCTTTTATTGTCGGCCGCCACACCGCTTTTATTATCGGCGGTCATATCGCTTTTATTATCGGCCGCCACACCGCTTTTATTATCGGCGGCCATATCGCTTTTATTATCGGCGGTCATATCGCTTTTATTATCGGCCGCCACACCGCTTTTATTATCGGCCGCCACACCGCTTTTATTATCGGCGGTCATATCGCTTTTATTATCGGCCGCCACACCGCTTTTATAATCGGCGGTCATATCGCTTTTATTATCACTAAAATTAAAGTGGAACAGAATTTAAGGTGGAACTTTAACATAGCAATAATATTAAGGTGGAACTTTTTAAAGGTAGCATTAAATTAAGGTGGCACAGAATTTTAGGTGGAATTTCTTTTAAGGTGCCACAGAGTTTAAGGTGGAAAATTCTGTGCCACCGTTCATATCGCTGTTATTAACAACGGCCGCCACATCGCTTTATTAACGGCGGTCATATCGCTTTTATTAACGGCCGCCACATCGCTTTTCTTCGCTTTTATTGACGGCGGCCATATCGCTTTAATTATCGGCCGCCACATCGCTTTATTAACGGCCGCCAAATCGCTTTATTAACGGCCGCCACATCGCTTTATTAACGGCCGCCACATCGCTTTTCTTATCGGCCGCCACATCGCTTTTCTTATCGGCCGCCACATCGCTTTTATTAACGGCCGCCACATCGCTTTTATTATCGGCCGCGACATCGCTTTTCTTATCGGCCGCCACATCGCTTTTATTAACGGCCGCCACACCGCTTTTATTAACGGCCGCCACATCGCTTTATTAACGGCCGCCACATCGCTTTTATTATCGGCCGCCACATCGCTTTTCTTATCGGCCGCCACATCGCTTTTATTAACGGCCGCCACACCGCTTTTCTTATCGGCCGCCACATCGCTTTTATTAACGGCCGCCACATCGCTTTTATTAACGGCCGCCACACCGCTTTTCTTATCGGCCGCCACACCGCTGTTATTAACGGCCGCCACATCGCTGTTATTAACGGCCGCCACATCGCTTTTATTAACGGCCGCCACACCGCTTTTCTTATCGGCCGCCACATCGCTGTTCTTAACGGCCGCCACATCGCTTTTATTATCGGCCGCCACATCGCTTTTCTTATCGGCCGCCACACCGCTTTTATTATCGGCGGCCATATCGCTTTTATTATCGGCCGCCACACCGCTTTTATTATCGGCGGTCATATCGCTTTTATTGTCGGCCGCCACACCGCTTTTATTATCGGCGGTCATATCGCTTTTATTATCGGCCGCCACACCGCTTTTATTATCGGCGGCCATATCGCTTTTATTATCGGCGGTCATATCGCTTTTATTATCGGCCGCCACACCGCTTTTATTATCGGCCGCCACACCGCTTTTATTATCGGCGGTCATATCGCTTTTATTATCGGCCGCCACACCGCTTTTATAATCGGCGGTCATATCGCTTTTATTATCGGCGGCCATATCGCTTTTATTATCGGCCGCCACACCGCTTTTATAATCGGCGGTCATATCGCTTTTATTATCGGCGGTCATATCGCTTTTATTATCGGCCGCCACACCGCTTTTATTATCGGCGGTCATATCGCTGTCATTATCGGCCGCCACACTGCTTTTATTATCGGCCGCCACTTTGCTTTTATTATCGGCCGCCACACCGCTTTTATTATCGGCGGCCATATCGCTTTTATTATCGGCGGTCATATCACTGTTATTAACGGCGGTCACATCGCTTTTATTATCGGCCGCCACATCGCTTTCATTATCGGCGGCCATATCGCTTTTATTTACTGCCGCGACATCGCTTTCATTATCGGCGGTCATATCGCTTTTATTATCGGCGGCCATATCGCTGTTATTAACGGCGGTCATATCGCTTTTATTATCGGCCGCCACATCGCTTTCATTATCAGCGGTCATATCGCTTTTATTATCGGCGGTCGTATCGCTTTTATTATCGGCCGCCACATCGCTTTCATTATCGGCGGTCATATCGCTTTTATTATCGGCCGCCACATCGCTTTTACTATCGGCCGCCACATCGCTTTCATTAACAGCCGGCACAACGCTTTTATTATCGGCGGTCACATCGCTTTTATTATCGGCGATCATATCGCTGTTATTAACGGCGGTCACATCGCTTTTATTTACGGCCGCCACATCGCTTTTACTATCGGCCGCCACATCGCTTTTATTAACAGCCGGCACAACGCTTTTATTATCGGCGGTCACATCGCTTTTATTATCGGCGATCATATCGCTTTTATTAACGGCGGTCACATCGCTTTTATTATCGGCCGCCATATCGCTTTAATTATCGGCCGCCACATCGCTGTTATTAACAGCCGGCACATCGCTTTATTAACGGCCGCCACATCGCTTTTATTAACGGTGGTCACATCGCTGTTATTAACCGCGGTCAGATCGCTTTTATTAACGGCGGTCACATCGCTTTATTAACGGCCGCCACATCGCTTTTTTTATCTGCGGCCATATCGCTTTTATTGGCGGTCATATCGCTTTTATTAACGGCCGCGACATCGCTTTTATTAACGACGCTCACATCGCTGTTATTAACAGCGGTCACATCGCTTTTATTATCGGCCGCCACATCGCTTTAATTAACGGCCGCCACATCGCTGTTATTAACGGCCGCCACATCGCTTTAATTAACGGCCGCGACATCGCTTTTATTAACGGCCGCCACATCGCTTTTCTTATCGGCCGCCACATCGCTTTTATTAACGGCCGCCACATCGCTTTTATTAACGGCCGCCACACCGCTTTTATTATCGGCGGTCATATCGCTTTTATTAACGGCCGCCACATCGCTGTTATTAACGGCCGCCACATCGCTTTTATTAACGGCCGCCACACCGCTTTTCTTATCAGCCGCCACATCGCTTTTATTAACGGCCGCGACATCGCTTTTATTATCGGCCGCCACATCGCTT